ATTATAAGATATACACCCATCGTCAGTCCTAACCCCATAATAGATTTGAATGATGTAATATGCCAAAAATATTTTAGTTATAAAACTTCACAATATTCGTTGTTACGGTGAGAACATGTCAAGTGCTAAATTTTGTCGCTGCAAACACGCACACAAGTGCTGCAAACTCCACCCTCCGTCGATTTGCATGTAATCAACCTTATAGTATACTCGTGTTCATCCGACAGTGTTTCATATCCAACTAAACATTCAATAAAAAATTCATTTGAAAATCATAGGTACAGTACCTATGATTTTCAAAAATTATAAAAAGGTAACTAAATTATATTTTTTATACAATTTTTTTATCATACGCAACAATTATAGCTTATTTTTAATTGTATAAGATATTTTGCCGTAATTTCATATCCAGCTGTTGAAAAACGTTGCGTGTGTTACTGTATCTAGTATTGAAACTCATAGCTTATTAAGTGCTAGCTTTTGCCCGCAGCTCCGCCCGCGTATATGTCGGTTATCGCGGTAAAAAATAGTCTTGTCTTTCATCAAGAATCAATGAAATCAAAGTATCTTAATACCAAAATTCATCTAAATCGGTTCAGCGGTTATTGATCCCCATACAAACTTCCACCCCCTTTTCACCCCCTTAAAGGATGATTTCTGGGATAAAAACTGCCCTAAATCCTTTAACGAGACTCGGATGATCTCTGTACCAAATTTTATCTAAATCGGTTAAGCGATTTAAGCGTGACGAGGTAACAGACAGACAAACAGACACACTTTCGCATTTATATTATATTAGTATGGATGTGTGTTGATACTCCTACACCCCTTAGTATTATATAAATCATTATAGGTGTGGTATCCCTGACCAACGCAATGGCATTACTCGAAATATCAGAAAATAAATCAGAAAACTAAAAAATAAAATAGAACAACAAAAATAACGTGTAACATTAGAAGAAAGAACAAGCAAAATAAATAAAAAACTATCCGAAATGATACAAATCTGGATATTATTGAAAAACAAGTATGTCCAACAGCCTCGACGAAGTATATAAGGGACAAGGTGTGTAAGAAGAAGAAAGTTGTAATTACAGTAAAACAAAACCCAGCATGGAGGTCCCAGAGGCAATTGGAGGAGACGTAACACAAAAGATATTGAATCTTGTGATATTCGGCAGAGATATGTCTAGCTGGCAGTGGAGCTATACCATGGAAGAGCCATGCTTGCAGGCATATATGGGCCAGGTTTGAACAGAGTGATACCACGGCCTAAAAGAAAACCAGTTTAAAGTAATTTTTTACGTGCTTTTCCCTGATGTTGGCGGGAGGACTGAAAGGGTTTTAACACACATGTTCCTCAAGAGTTGCAAGTGTGCATGAGTGGCGGAAGTTATTGACCATTAGGTAACCTGCTCCTTGGTCCTCTTATGTCTACCATAATTATAAGTTCATAAAACACGCTTTGGTAGCTAGCCGAACAAAAAAGTAGGCAATAATTTTCTATAAGTTCAAAAAATAAATTAAGGTCAAGGTATTTTATGATATAATAACTTAACTTTGACCAATATCTGTCAGTAAAATATTTTTACAACAATTGTGATCTTGGTCCGTGTGGTGACGGATTAAGAATACAGAGTGTCACCACCCCTATTCATCCCGTGGGTGCCGTAAGAGCCGACTAAGGGAGAAAACTAAGCAGAACAACAGCACTGCAGGGAGAAGGAAAACTTAACACAAATCCTATACCAACCCGTCTGGCCAGCGTGGTATAGGTAGTAGGCCAAAACCTATGTCTATGTAGAGGCTTATGTCCAGCAGTGGACTATTAAAGGCTGTTGATGTGAATTGAGATCTAGCACTCAACGCTTTTATTGATTTATTTTTCCTTGTTTAGATAATAATGGTGATTATTATCTTATTAAGACTAAAAAAGTAAAGAGGTGATCACATATGCTTCAGCATACGCCTTAGTACATGGCAAAAGACACTACCGTACTTTTAGGTAGAAAACGCAGTTAATCATGAAGGTCCTGATCAGGACAATGGGACAAACTATTTAAATTATTGCATTGTCACCGGTCCTTGATAACTATGCAAAGGTTGAATTTATTTATTGGTTGAAGTGAGTCAAAATCACGTTCAAAGATTCCGCTACATATATACCAAGTTAATAAAAGCGTGTTTAAAATGCCGGTTCTGTAATTTATTTATTTATCTAACTTTACGTTTGACTTTACTTATTTTAAAATATTTATATAGATGTTAAACTCAATAAAGTCTCAATTTTGGACCCGGGCCATTTAATTTATCTCACAACTGTTATTAAAAAGTAAACATCCTTGTTTGTTTACACTAACTAGAGTTTATATTCACTTGCAGTGTGTGTTTTACGTGATAAGCGTTACCACTCATCATACTCCATCCTTCAAGCGAATTGAAATAATTTAGGGAAGTGGTTTAGGCAAATTGAAAATGTATCAGAGGATACCAGCACATAAATCTATGATGCATTTATGATGGAGAGGTGGATCGTATTTCCACCTCTTCGTTTAGCTAGAAAGTGGCACACGGTCAGTGCTTTGAATGCCTCGTTGTGTATGCGACCACTGTGCTGAGGTTTCGAGTTCTTTCCCGGGTCGGACAAAATGTTTGTATGCTCTGCAAATATTTGTTTCGGAGTTTGAGTGTTTTCTATATATTAAATGTATGTTTTTTACAATAGAAGTACATAAGTAAGTATTCTATCAGTCTGGCTTAAATAGTACAAGCTCTGCTTAGTTTGAAGCTAGATGGCGTTGTGTGTCAGATGTCCGGAAAATATTATCATATGTTTTAGGCAAGCAAGTTCAAAACGCGCTAAAACGTGTTCTTTTTTCATGGCTACTAGTCTTGGGCGTCCTTAACGAATTTGTTATCGTTCTTTAGTGGAACAGCTCACACGAAAACCATAGCTTCGTCAACGGACTTAAAATTCACTGGCTAACCAATTAGCCATGCCAATTTGTCGATTTTAATCTCATTTCCCATATGTATAAATACCCGAATGCTACATTCAAAAAAATGTTCAAACACTTAAAAATCATTAAGTTTTTATTTAATTTTAATTTTGGTCTAGTCTAAAATTTCTTGTTTTTCTTTCTCTGAGCTTATTATTCAGGTGTTCTCATTTCAAAGGAATTAGCCGAAACCGTTTAGTCATTCTCAAGTGATGCGCTTATCAACAAACGCGTTTCGTTCCTATTTATACAGAAGATAGTAACGTAATACCATTGGTCTCCTCTTGAAATATAACGATAGAGAAAACTGTAAACGGTAGAATTTTTACATGTAATGTGTCGGAGACTGCTGACAGTATTTCTAGGTAGGTAAAACAATCGATCCCATTAAAATGCACCCTCATTTCAAACACTACCTAACTTTGCATGTCAATTAAATCATTCACAGTAGTTACTATCGTCCACAAACAATAATTTCCACCTAACAGTTCAATAATTTACAGATCGTGATATTGATAGAACGCTTGCACACTTGTAATGAAATTGTATATTATAAACATTGACTAATTGTTGTTTGAACACGCGAGAGTCCACATTATTGTTCCTTCACGAACGCCTTATAATATTATGGAGTTAGGTATATAACTGTTTTATAAGCAACTATATTGCACACGTAATCTATATGATAAATGTTGTAAAGTTGGTTTGTGTACGCTTCAAAAACTCAAAGAGTCCTCTCAGCGATTGAGCTCAAATTTTGACATGGTATACATTCCGCTACTAGAATAGTTCTATTTCTTTCAGTGTTCAAAGTGTAAGCGTTAACGCCCAAACGTGCTGGAATGATCGTAGAATGCTACCTCAATGTACGACTTGGGTATCAAGACAATCGTCATTCACAGCATTTAATAGTTCACTACTGAATATAGGCCACTCCTAAGAAAAGAGGTTGTCGCCTACTATATCACGTTGGCAAGTTTTCTGTCTCTTTGCATTGCTGCAGTGCTGTTGTTCTGCATAGTTTCCTGCCTTAGTCGGCTCTTATGACACCCACGGGATGAATAGGGGTGGTGACACTCCGTATTTTTATTCCGTCCATATGTCCTCAAATTCAATAACTATTTCTAGTAATATCTATTTTTCGCGTCAAATTTGTTCTTTATTTCCCATATATGCAATTTCAATGTACCACAGCGATGCGTGGCAGGGTACAGCTAGTTTGTTTATAAAAATGAATGTAACCATAAAAAAAACAAATATTTCTGTGTCAAAATCGTCTATAAGACAACTAGTTTTTAGACTTTCTTTTTCCATTCAAATCCGGGCTTTAATACTACAAGAACGTTCCCGATTGACACAATTGATATTTTTAATATTTATTGGTGAAATTAAGACGTAAGTGAATATTCATTCAGCTTATTCAAATACTTAACCTAAAACTAAAAAAAATTGTCAGAGGCCAAACAATATACCATTATTTGTGTGGTATTTGTATCACTTTAAAATGGACGTTGTAACCCCAGTCTTGACTACATTTGTATACTAAATGCTTGTACAGAATTGGTCACAGTATTTTATAATACAAAGTATTATGACAACGCTATTGCCAGAAATTTCAACCGAATTATAATTGTCGTTTCTAGACATCTTTGTTATGTTATAAGTATGTCTAATGTCGCTGCATGAATCGGTTGAGCAGCTACAAATCACAACGTACTAGGTAAGACCACGCTCTCGTAGGATAACTTAAGTTTTATGGAACATCGACCGTCCCTTTGAGTTAAAATGCCTGTAGATTTTGGTAAATTTATCAGTTCTGGATGACAGATATCTCGCTTTCATAGAAACAATAATTATTTGCTACTTAATAATTAAATCGTAATTATCGTTACCCTATTTAAACATTATATGAGATAACATAATTTTTGAGATTCCACTCGTTGAAAATTGTTTTGAGGGTAAAACAATATGTCATTCTACTGAGGTTAATATGTCAAAAAAATGGATGTTCACGCCGAAATCCTAGCAATTTATAGGTAATGACACAAAGTAACGTTTCGACGTACTTTCTGTTATTGAGTGGTTTTGTCTGTTTAACTAAACTGTAGTAGTATTATTGCTTTCAATAGTTTTGGCAAATGAAGACCTTTCTTTTGTAACAGTTTTGTAAGACTTAGTTTAAAGAAATAATAAAGAAACAAGAAGTGTACAATTGCGCAGCCATAACTTCCAAGGTGAATATTTCGTGAAATATTGATCAATAGCTTATAATTCTTTTTTTGACAATTTCGGTCTTCAATTGACAAAAGAGTTAGATCTCTAACATAAGTAGTTGCTGAGATCTCCGTGGCGGTGCTTTCCTCCTTTATAATTTCTTCATTTCTTTGAAAAACTATGGTTTGTTGCCTTCGATTTTGGCGATTTTTTTTTCTGTTTGGATAACGTGGCGAAACAATCGAAACGCACATGCTAATTAGGTGACTTATTCTACAAATATTGATACTTACCCGTTACTGTTTATTTCTGGGCCACTGATTGTATACAAAGAAAATTACGTAAGTTAGTGGAGTGACATAAACGCTCACTGTATTTTGCTGATCTTACATATTGACCATATCAATGCAAAGTGCGCAATCATTCAATAAGTTGTCATGAATGCCCGAACACGTGATATAGTGTTACTTAGCTCACGACTTCTGGCAGAAATATTCGCCTTTATCATTACTACAAGTCCTTTAAACCTCTTTCGTGTCTACAAGACTGCGAGTGTTTATTACAGTAAAGGTACTAACTACTCGCCTAAACCCTGCAGATTTCTGTTCTAAAATCAGCTCTAATTCCAGGATAAGGTTACTCAGTATTAAAAAATTATGCGAACAACACTATGACAAACTACAATTGATTAATATTCGGGCGGTATTGCTTGTTTATCAACTTAATTGTTCAAAACAAATTAGAGGGGAGATATCCATTCCTGTCACCTTTGTCATATAAAAAAGAACACGTGCATGGTCAATTCAGCTGTATTACGCAGTAGGCGAATATGAATCAGGACGCGTTTATGTGGACAGTGGGTGTATAAAAATAAATAATATTATCAACCGACATGTATTTGCATAGGTTATTCAATCTATCTCTGTAAATGGAGCTTTTTCGGCTAGTCTCTTCACCGTTGTTTAATGTATTCGCTTGACCTCCAGACACCATGCACTTACGTCAATAATATTGAAGTGGAGCAATTTAAAACTGTGTCTAAGTAGTTCAAGCTTAGTTGGTCTACGTTTTTACACGTTTAGGAGTAGTAGGAAGTAAATTCCTTCAATACAAATAAATGGTTCGTATGCAGATGCTATCGGGCCACACAACAAATCTAGGACATATCCCAAGTCGTTTTGTAGATAATTGAACAGTTTACTGTTACTCGTTTACGAAAAAGGTAACCTTTTTGACTGGTCTCATGGTTAGTGACTCTGACTGCTAAACCAGAGGTCGTGGGTTCGATTTCCACCCACTACAAGTAATGGTGTGATGAGCACTATCATTTGTTTAGTGTCTAGGTGTAGACATTGGGGCGGTACTGGTAAAAATATGGTCCTTGCTCTGGAAAGAGCTCAAAGAGGAATACTAAAGGTTATGACATTTAAACCTATCCGCTATTCTATCGTCGAATTGTATAGTAAATTGAATGTACTCACTATAAGAAAAATGTACTTATTAAATATAATCTTACGTCACATCAATCACATCACATCAACAGCCTATAATAGTCCACTGCTGTACATAGGCCTCTCCTTAGAAATGAGGTTTTGGCCTACTATACCACGCTGCCCAGATGGGTTAAATTATAACGATACCGAACGTCTCCTAACATGAACACAATGTGTAATTCGATCAAACATAAATTATTAAGTGGTGGAAACACATGCCCTAAAACACACTCACACACATGCACACTTACATATTATTATGCTCTTTTAAACACCACACACTTGCACAGACAAACACATACACATATAATAATAATAATAATAATAATAAGGTTTATTTGTCTCAAAAAGGTAAATAGGTACATAGGTTTGTTATGCTACTATAATAAAAATAACATACATGACACCACAAACATATGCACTCACACACAAACAATCCTACGTATTCTGCCAATCCTATAACATTGTTAAAAATTAATTTTTAACTTTGTGATTTGGTTTATATTCTATGTATGATGTAACTTGAAACCTGTAATTTATCTTCCTGTGGTGGGCGTTAATGGCAGCCATTATCAACCATATTCTACTGTGCAATTTGTTATTTTTAGTTACAAATAATAAACTTTTATTATTTATGTTTATCAGCAGTCTGGATACCATAGTACAGGATCAGCCTAGTTTGGGATCAGACTGTCATAACTAGTCAAAAGTGAGATGTGTGAAGTTATTATGAGTGACTTGTTGTTGTTTTATTTCATTTGTAATACACACTGCTATGATAATACATCGTATCGTGGTCGTAAAAATTGCTGTAATTTCCAAACATTTAGTTCTTGGCACGTATTAGTATAGTGTTTATTGCAAACATGTAATCGAAGTTTTATAATCGATTGATAAATAAATCGATTTCATATATATAGATAGTCATAAAGCTAAATAGGTCGTCTCCACACCAGAGATTAAATATATATTTAAATTAAGAAATATCTCTATCGCTTAAGTATTGGCTGTCTGGTGTAATTCCGAGATTCGTCTAAACTGTTCAGCGACTAAATAAGCAAATTTGGGGCGTCTACATTGCAGTTGGTATATTTGTTTTTGACGTCTTAAATATATTAAGAATAAATCCCTGGCAAATATGGCCGGTTATGTTTTTTTATCTTGTATAGTATCGCGTCCAACTTTCGCGTTTAATAAATATATGCTGAAAAGAAAGAAGGCGTTTCCACTTCAGTTTTCAATGTGAAACCAGTCAGTGCTTACTGTATCCCTTTCGTTGTTACAGCTTGAAATATCTATACTAGATTGTAGCTTAATTTATGTTACAAATAGATAGTTTAAAAAAACCGGTCAAGTGCGAGTGGAAATCGTGCGCCGGGGGTTCCGTACCTACCCATTATACCGCCGTAATAAAATTGGTATGTGTGTGTGTGTTGTAATGGTTGAGTTGGTGCCAATTAAGCTAGTCCTCTAAATTGTATGAGCCATACAACTCAGAGGACATCTTAATTGGCGTCAACTATGTATGTAACCTAACGTGTGGTTGAAAAAAATGTGTGGTATTTTAATGTAATACGTATATGGGGTATATACGTATTACATTACCGAAGTAAAAAAAAAGTACAGTACAGTATATAAGTAAAGTACAGTATACCGAAGGATAGAGGCGCCGTATGCTGAAGCCTATGTTTCCAACCTAGTTCAGCAACGGAGGCAATTAATATGACACGCTTGGTATATTCATAAGTTTACTTTTAAGTAAGATAAGATTTGTGAAAAACTGTGTACACATAATTCGGAACAATAAATATTATTATTATTTATGACTCCCTTTAATTTTCAACATTTTTATTTCTTGCATTTTTTCCTTAATTTGTGCTGTAAGCTGTAACCTTGCCAAAATTTCGTGATTCTAGGTCAACGGGAACTACCAAATAGGTTTCGACCCAAAACCTATAGGGTACTTCCGGTTGATCTAGAATTGTTAAACGTAAGGTCTTACAGGTCAAGGGAAAATTTTTAAAAATAAAAAAAGTTGAAAATTAAGGTAAATTTTAGTACTTAAAAGTTTTCGCGAAAATCTAAATTTGCCTATATCGTTTTATCGTGTTGACTCAGGACCTTGATTTTTATAGACTCAGTATCTGGTATAAATTTTAACTTACTAGGTCATCCCGTTTATGAGAAAATCGGTGGTAACACACACAAGAGAGTATTCTTATAATTTTTTACGGAACCCTAAAAAGACATAAAAAATTGAATTAACTATGGTTTAATTTGGCCACTAGGCAATAGAAAGAAGATATACCATAAATTGAATAAGATTATGAAGTATTTAACTTATTTATAGACTACTATAATATCTCGTTACCTACAAGCTTGTGTTGTACCACGTACAATGACAAAGATATTTTTCTGTCCACGTATGATGGCTTTGTAATATATCCAATATTGTTATGGTCATAAAGAATGTGTAATGAATACCATTCCATTATTTAGATAAACTAACAATGCAAGGCAAATTTCCGTGATCACTGCCTATCTTTGTCAGTTTATATAATGAAATGAAAAAGTGTTTGTTCCAGGAACACGTCCATCTTCAGTATGTTCTCGAATAACAACTTGATGCGAACGCGCAGACACAGTGGCACATTCGGACCTGTTACGTCGCCAGTTAATTTAGGTGTTAGTATATATTTTTTATTTTCCATATAATTTTAACATCTGTGGCGATCACTCGATCATAGACCGTGGTCTTTGAACCAAACTAGCTTTGACTATTGCACGGAGTCTGGTTGAAGAGCTTTTGAAACTGAATTATTTTCTGGCACTATCCGTCTTTGGCATTTTTACTATGTTATAAATGCCTTTTCTGCAGAATAAGTATTAAATGAACCTTATATTACAGTATAAGCAAATATGTTGTGGCAGTAGTTTTGAGGGTAGATTCATAGTAATAGTTGCAAATTTTCAAAAGCACGGTCGTTAGAGTAGTGTTAACGCCCCCACATGTGAGGACTCGCCAATAAAGGAAGTGCGTGTGGTACAGAGCTCGTGGGCGCGGCTGGCGCCGCGCGTGACGCAGCTGCGCGCCGAGGAGTGCGCGGACGTGAGCAACACGCGCGAGGTGGCGCACGAGCGCGAGGTGCACACCGCCATACAGATGGAACAGTCCTGCGAGGACCTCACGCTCGTCGGCCCACTTACCAACTCGCCCACGAGGATACCTAGGTATCTTTCCACTTCTTGTACCATTACTATATATGCATTATATACCTAAAGGCCATTTAATCTTCATTAAAATTGTCTCACATTTATTATACATAAATTTTTGTTTTAGGCGTTTACCCTGTAATGACGGAAAGTGATGTGGCGATGCGCCTTGTAAAACCTTGGCTTCTTACTTTTGTAATTAATAAATTGCCCTAAGAGCTTCTTCTCAGATCACAGACAAAACAGATCAGTGATACGCTGAACAGATCAGTAACATCTTAAAGGTTCAGCTTGGCAAACGCCGAGACGAAAGTTGACGGAACTTTCGATCTTCAATCCTCATCACTTATTCCCAACGTTTTTCTGTGAACACAACTTTTCTACTTTATTCTTTGTACTTTGAACATTTCAATTTTCTAAATTATGCCAGATTAAGATGTGGGTCTCGTACTATTTACATTCGCATTATACATCTTTCAAATTTTATTCGACATCAATAGTATTCGTCTATCCAAACTTCTAAGGATCATATCCCACTAATCATCTCCTACCCTCAATTCATTTAACATCTAACCCTGACTTCATTACTCACCGAAAAGATTGTATTTTTGCAGGTTTTCACCCACCGTTGTCTCACCATCACCCACCCGGAAATATACCACGCGTCGCAGCTTATCACCCATACAGATCCGAGCATCCAGCTTCAGTCCCGTCGGCCGGCCTAACTTGTTGACCGGCAAACGGCGGTGTGACGAAGCTGACTCACCTCTGTCAAAGCGTATGTGCACCTCCGACAGGTTAACTCCATCAACCCCAGGCACACCAGATTCTGACTCCTTAGAATGTACTTTCAGGCCTGTATCGCCCAGAGCGCAGCCGATGAACGAATGCTCCCACGAATCCACAGATGTTCAGCAGAACCACAAGTCATCGAATCCTAGCTAGTAGTATGTGCATCGGTATTGAGTTGAAAGTTTTGCGTTGAGTTGAAAGTGATTTTTAGTATGCTGAAGTGAGCCATGCTTAAGTGGCCGCGATTGTTTGCCAACAATTTGGATAAAAACTAATTTATTCTTAGCTAGTGATATTTTAGTGAATTGTTTTTAACATGATACGTGGCGTTCCGTTATTAAAATGGACAAACCCATTTACTGGACTACGGTTTCGATCGTCGTACTAACTTATTTTAGGATTTTGTCAGCGTCACATCGATATTGACATATCAGTTGGGAATCCTGGAACTGATTCGTCTGAGTCATATGGTTGTCTACCCAGACTTATAAATGTACGAATGTGTTTCAATATAAAAAAGTATAAAAAATTTAATAACCTTTGGATCGTAAAAGTACCTATTTGAATGTTCAAATCATCAAAATTACAAATACCAATTATTTTTGCACATTTCAGCCCTCTGCAACCGTATTTCGTATACGTAGTAAATATCTTCTATCAGCGGTTCCTAAACCGCGTGTTTGATAAAATTATCTATTAGGCAGACCTTGTTGCAGCCACTTGAACGTTTTTGAACTGAAATGTGCCAGTTTATGATTAGTATCTTACTAACAATTGTAAAAAAAAACTAAAACCTTCATTTAAAAGGATTTTAATCTTTCTAAATCTCAATATTCACGCAAAACACTTTCAACTCAATCAATAACCTATAGGTTTTAATGGCTTTGATACTGTAGCATTGCGAAAGAAGTATTGCAAACTATTACAAACCTTGTAGCACTATTCATAGGGTTCAAATTTCGTGTATTTGTTCCTTTACAGTAGTCTACCAATGTTGGTTTCTAACTAACTTGAAATTATTGTAGTGGAATGGGAATGAATTGTAAACGCGAGTGCCCTATTGTTAGCCAAAGCATCCAAAACTTTATTGTAAATATACCTAGATGCGTTCACTTATATAGAACGCGTAATGTATATATAATTTATATTATTAAGTTAATGTAGTAACCGTAGATACAAATAGATAGATCAGGGAAACTTCATAAAAGGCGTGATCCGTTGATGATGCTTATTACCTATATCGGTTGCACTTGCATTAGATGAAAAGTTTAAGTTATTTAATACTAGCTGAGACCCGCGGTGTTACCCGCGTTTGTTGTTATAACCGGGGGCAACGCCGCGGGGCGAGGCTAGTCTAAAAAAAGTAGCCTAAGTTACTCCTTATGTCATCAGCTATCTGCCAGTGAAAGTCCCGTCGAAATCAGTCCAGCCGTTCCAGAGATTACCCGGAACAAACAGACAGACAGACAAAAATTGTAAAAAATGTTATTTTGGCATATGTACCGTGTAAACATACATATGCATTTAGTAAAAAGCGGTTATTTTAATATTACAAACAGACACTCCAATTTTATTTATTTGTATAGATAAAGAAAATGGCTAGGATTTCTCTTTTCATACATACATACATTCACACTAATAGATCCCATGTAAAAAGGTGCTGTCTTTTTCAAACACAATTTCGAATACTTTTATTTCAAGTACCGAGGTAAATGATCTATTTATATTGTATGTTTTAGGTAGTAACACATACGTGTATAGGTATTTTGCAGTTGCGATGTCGTATATGTTTCGTTTATAGTCACTTGTATTTAACAATTTTATAGTTAGCGTGGTATAGTAGGCCAAAACCTCCTTTCTAAGGAGAGGCCTATGTCCAGCAGTGGACTATTAAAGGCTGTTGATGATGATGATAGTTAGCGTCGGCAATAGGTGCAATGTTGTGTTGTGCAGCAACGCGTTGGGGTAACATAAGCTAATGTAAACCACGGCAGCTGGTACTAATAAAAAAATATAGGTATTCAGGAACATTATTACTGTCTGTATTTCGTTAGAAAGAGTACCTTTAAAAATATTTTTTAAATAAGAAATCTAGAAGCTATGATATTTAGATGTTTATGAACAATTTTCGTATTATGACTTGTTTGAAGATTTTTCATTATTTACAGAAACAACATTAAGTACCAGTATGCCAAATGTGGCATACATTTCCGCCTTGGACCCGTAATGCGTTAATAGATTTCTGTATGAAAGTAATGTGACTGACCATTGCTGTGATTTGAGTCATTGCCGTAATGCCAAGCGGCATGTATGGGGTTCATTCAATATTTTCTATAGTTATTGCATTTAGTTTTTCTGTTAAGTGAATATTAGAAATTCGAATTTAAATTTTGGAAAATGTCTCAGCGTTAGTAGTATATATACACAAACATTTTACATAAAATATTTCTATTGTAAGCTGATACACTACATGTAAATGGACTGTGTGCAGAAATGATTTAGTCCATAAACTAACTAGTCAAAGTATTGAAATGTTGATTAAAATATTTTGAGTTTATAATCTTTCATGATTAAAAATCTTTTTTTCATTAAAATACCATATAATTCGACAGTTAATTGGCATTGTTAATTTGACCAGTTTGTGAGTCGAATCGTTTCTGCGCAACACATTTCAAATAAAGTTCATTGAAACCATACAAGCCGTCGATGATTGAATTTATCCGCCGATTGTAATTTAAGTTTTAATCAAAATAGTCACCATTACTTACAATACCAATCTGTTTATTTTTATATTAATGCTATTAAAGGCACAATACAATGTGAACTAATATTATTTTACCATTTTTAAGTGTGTTACACAATAAGTGTATTTAATGTTCCATTTGTATAAACATTTAAAGCTATTTCTTTTATTACCCGAAGATTCGAAGGAACCTGTAGTTGGTTATCATGAATGAATCCTTCAAGGTCCGATGTTTAAGTGTATAGTTCTGATTTCTGTCTATAAAATGTGATTTACATTACAACAAATAGATAAAATGATTTAGATCTTTTGGAATTGTTATGAATTTAATGATAAGGAGTATTGTGAAAGTATTGTTTGACTGCACTGTTGATGGTGTTATGAGGGAAATTTGTAAATAACGGTTAACGTCTGTTGAAGTAATACTTAAAGGTATTATTAGAGAAATGTATGGAAGATGAAATATAAATTAAAATTAACACATTTTGCATAGAACGAATAACATATTGATTCATAATAAGTTATGATTGATTGAAGTATCTACATTTAATGTTTTCAAGAAATGCGGACTAATTATAGAGAATTAAGAATGCAAATACATTGAAATTTCTTGAGGATTGCAGTCGCTTCATGTTCCTAAGGATAATTTTTGTTATAAAAACAATGTATACTTCAAATCAATTGTAACATATTTCTATAAAATACGAGTGTCATCACTACACTAGATAATTGCTCAACGCACCCCTCTAATGGTTGTATGAATGATTTCAATTTAGTTTTTAAAACGTGCCAACGGCCTCGTCGTACAAGTCTGCAACCACAGTTGTAACCCAACTCGGGAGATAATTGTGTATATCGTTGAAATTTTTTATATATCCTGAGCTGGCTTTTTGTAAAAATAATAGGGTCGGAGTTTTGGATAGTTTTGTATAAAGCATTCAGTGTGTATTATTCGACATTCACATAATTTATAGATGTTTATGCCAATGATTTTATAAGTTTAAAGACATACACCGATTACATTGACTGTTTAAGTGTAGGTTTTGTTGATTCGTCAAATAATTATCCTATTTCCTATAGTTGTAAATTCATAGTGGTATATAGTACTACTGTTTCTTTTAAACAAATATTTTGATAATTAAAGTGATATTTTGAAATTTATTTACAACTGACATTACTTCCATAATTTTGTAACGGCTGTAAGCAAACCTTGCTTACATTTTGAGCTATTTATTACTTAAAGAAGATTTAAAATACAGGTTTATAGCAATTCTTCACGTGGAGCAAAAAAACTAATGCCAATTTTGTTTATTCCAATTAGTTTCTTACGTGTCAGGCACACGCAAGAAAATAGAATGGGAATAAAGAATATATTCGATTTTTTCGTTCGTTCGTCTTCAATTGCAGTAATATACCATAGTGAACTATTAGGAATAATAGGGTGTAGGTGGATAATGTGGCTTAGTATGTTTTTCTACATAACATCATTGGTTCACGCCCATACGGCGAGCAAATAATGAATTGTGATAGAATATCTAATGTTATTTTTATAACATTTATTTTGGACGAAGTATAGTAAAGAATATGTATTCTCTTGTATCGTAACCTCACGGTAGCAGTCGTATACTGTAAATGCATTTTGTTAATATAGTTTGAGCTGTGTAAATAATTTAGTGTATGTATGCCCACGGTATCTTGTCTAGTGTGTACGTGTGTACCTAACGACATATATGTAGAGGTAACGATTCGTAACATTTTGTATGTATCAGTCAAGTCAGGTTTGACTGCCAAAAAAGATTTGTTTTTCAAGTGTGATTAAATCACAACATGAATACCTTTTGTAGTTTGATTATCTTTCCTGTGTTGCCCTTTAATAGTCTTATGTAAAGATATAAAAAGTCACACATAATTTTCATCTCTAAGCTCTAAATTGAAAATTTTAGGTTACAAAAAGTTATAATCAAATTTTGTTTTGTTTTTGGCAAATCGCTAATTTGGAAAAAATCTCTTATCGACTGACAAAACAAATTCGTAAATTAACTCATTAAGTTTAGGTCATTCGTTATACAGTTTAATATCGATTTTTCAGTCTACGAAAAAAATTATAGCTGGAATTGACTTAACAATATATAAGTTATGTATAAATTTACAGCCTCTCCTTAGAAAGGAGGTTTTGGCCTACTATACCACGCTGGTAAGACGGGTTGGTATAGGGTTTGTGAAGACGGAGGCCCTGTTATTTCATGGGCCCCGTCGTGGTCCACCCCCTGGCGCCTCAATCGTGGTCAACTCGGTCCTCGTACCGGTTCGGGCCCAGATGAAATATCTGGGCCTGATCCTCGACGGGAGGTGGCTCTTCGACGAGCACTTCCGACAGCTTGCTCCAAAGCTGGTCGGCGCTGCGTCTGCCCTAGGGCGACTCTTGCCCAATATGGGTGGACCCAGCGTCGCGACAAGACGGCTGTACACGGGGGTTGTCCGGTCAATGGCGCTGTACGGTGCACCGGTGTGGGCGGCGGCTCTGACCGCCCAGAATAGGGTACGCCTCTGGCGCCCTCAGAGGGTAATGGCGGTCAGAGCCATACGCGGTTACCGCACCGTCTCGACGGAGGTGGCATGCGCATTGGCCGGAACTCCCCCGTGGGATTTGGAGGCGGAAGTGCTCGCCGAAGTTTATCGGCGAGTGGCTGACTTCCGGGCGGAGGGCGGATTTCGCCCTCCGCCCGAAGACGTGCGCGAGTGGCGCGAAGCCGCTCGCCGAGCCACGATGGCTCGTTGGTCGTTCCGGCTGGAGACTCCACGCGCTGGCTTCGCCGACGTGGAGGCTCTCCAGCCGGTCATCGCCGAGTGGGCAGGGCGGCAGCACGGGACCCTTTCCTTCCGACTGACGCAGGTGCTTTCCGGGCACGGTTGCTTCGGAAAGTACCTGCACACGGTCGCTAGGAGGGAACTGAGTCCCGCCTGCCACCACTGCGACTGCAGTGAGGACTCGGCCCAGCACACGCTGGCGGTCTGCCCCGCATGGGCGGCGCAGCGCCGGGCCCTCACTGCAGTCATCGGAGTGGATCTCTCGCTACCGGCCGTAGTACGCTCCATGGCCGGTAGCGACAGTTGTTTTACCGCGGTCGCAACCTTCTGCGAGGTAGTAATCTCGCGGAAGGAGGCGGCGGAGAGGGCCCGGGAGGACGACCTCCACTCGGACCCGATCCGCCGCCGGCGAACCGGGCGGCGGAGGCCCGCCTATCACAGCCTCATGCCGCCCTGAGTGTGGCCGCGGGTGGACGGGGTGGGTTTCCCCTCCACCCGCATTAGTTTGGCCAGCCGCGAGGGGGCGGCGTCCGCGTGTGCCGGACGTCGCCTAAAAAGAGAGGAAAATATCGAGACGGAGCCCGCACCAGGAGCGGGCTGGCGCTAGGAGGGGTCCGGATGTCTTAACAACAGCTGTTCCCGGATCCCTCCTGTTACAGGCGCAGAGTGGCACACCGTGTGGTTTTAGTCGGTCCGAGTCCGACACACCACCCCGCCGCAAACCCCGGAGGGGTGACGGTCCGAGGGGATTTCCACACGTTAAAAAAAAAAAAAAAAAAAAAAGGGTTTGTGTCAAGTTTTCCTTCTTTTGCAGTACTGGTGTCCTGCGTTGTTTTTCGCCCGTAGTCGGCTTTTACGACACCCACGGGATGAGTACGGGTAGTGACATACCGTATTCTTAATCCGTCACTACACGGACAGTATTTATAAATTAATACAAAACACTATTACTTTGACGGCTATAAACAATGCTCCTAAAATTCTTCAAACTTCTACAGGTTTGTAGAGGGATCCATTTCTAAATCAAAAAGGGGATACCAAACCAAAATCACTTTTATTTACAACTCCGTTTTACATTAACCTTGTATATTAGACGACAAATGTTATCAAGAAGAAAACAGTATTCAAAGTGACAATTATTCTAAAACTTATTATTAAACGAACAACATTATTATAACATTCCAATATTTTGTACTCTTTAAAATGTGATAAATTACAAAACATATGACAAATGATGCGAATAATCTCACAATAATTACTATGTAAATTAATTATATTAAAACATTACAAAATCCATTAATAATAATAGTTACAATTAAAAGAGTATTAGCAAAGCTTTGCCAAGAAAATACATAATATTATGTATAAAAACATTTACATCCGCATCCGGTGTTAGTTGATCCTGCACGCGATAGCCGAAACATCAAGTGTTTACAGAACATTTTGCGTCTAATGTTCGAATCGGCAAACAGTACCCAATTCGCGTAATCGACGTAATTTGACAAGATATGTATATTTCGTTTGGCTAATTGCTCCTTAGCACTTATGCTTACGACAATACACGTGTTAGGATTACCTAAGATTCTACGCATCTTATTCGTAATTAATCCTAAATCGAGGTATATATTTATCGTAACGACAAACGCGCCAATGTACAAATAATACACACTGATTAATGAATTTCAATAAAATAAGATATGTGTGATATAATTTGCACAGGTCGATAAATATATATTTTAATACATAAGCTGATTATAACCTATAATTGACTATAGGAAGACAGCGTTATCCTAATTAAATAATAAGCTGAAACAAGGCGGATGAACAATATTGGAATGTGGGATTTTGGACTTTTATTTGGTAAAAATTCTATCTATTGAGGTCAGATCAGACATGAGATTTTGGTTTTAGTGCTTTTTATTCAAACTCTTCTTAAATTAATGAAACTGGGTTTCGCCGTTCCAAATGACGTAATTTATTGAGGATTCGTCCTCTAGTCAAGTTGTCTGGGTTTGGCTCGCCATCGCATCTTATGGCACTCATTGGACATAAAAAATAATCAGGTGATGAGCCTGAAGCTTCATTCGATCATGTCAACACACTTCAGTCTTTAATAATTTACCGAAAGTAAATAAACTTCACGTCTCACATCGTGTTATAACCTAACACGAACTCTTATTTGATCTAGCGTTTTATTTCACTACCTAAGTTTAATTAATGGCAGTGTTCTTTCCCGGGCTCACACGGCCCGAGTGAAATTATCTAACGTCAAACTACTTACAAATTAAACGTAGCACTAGAAGCCAATGTGGCACCTTATATTAAATCGAGTGATTCATATACTGCCTTTATGTGGCTCGCCCTAGTTTGTACAAGCCCTATTGTTCAACATTATGTTGTCCCGGAGCGAGCTACGAGCGCTCTTCCAGCGACATTACAAACGGTGTCAGTACATTACAAAAGTATGTAAAACAAGCTATCATTTACGGCTAGGGCTGGCTGACTGGATTTAGTAAAACGGTTTCTTTGTACAGATTTGATAAATTTAAACAAAATAAATGCAAAAAATTTAAAATACTAAAAAACAACTAAAACATTTTATTGCTTCCATATAAAAACTCATTCTGGTAGATTTTACAAAAGCGATTCTGCCAACTCATACACGCCTCTTTCACACACACAATTGAACAAAAAAAAAATAACACTGGGCAAAGATGCCAATTTGAATAAAAAAAGGCTAATTTAATAAACAATGATATAATTAATACTTTAATACGAACTAGCAAAAATGGTGTAAGTATATTTACAGTGAAAACTCAAGTCAGACCACACTCGCCCTAGCCTTATAATATACACATGAATTTTGCAAATTTATTAGAAAATTTGAACCCACCTTAAGATATTCTGTACAGCATATAAGGCACCACAGAGCTGTTCTCAGCTGGACATCAACGTAGAGTCTTCGATTAGAGGTACCTTGGCGACTTCGAAAAAAATAGTGTGGGAATACTTGTTCCTCACCGTGCTGATTGCCGATTTGGGTTTCTTGTGTAGCGTAGCGTTTTGTAGGAGCGCAACCGGGAGTATTTCTTTGAGGGAGTATCCTGGGGAAATTATCAAAAATTGCATCACGGCCGCCTGCGTTATCGCTTTTAATCTTTTTACTTACACAAAAGGAGGCAAAGAAAACATTTGTTGGAATAAGAAATTTACACCGAGAAGATGAAAAAAAGTAGCTTTATTTGCAGAGCGTTGTCAAGCCAAACAAGTTGTGTTTGTTTAACATTTAATATTATTAATTCGAGGCCTTAGTCGGCTCTTACGACACCCACGGGATGAATTGGGGTAGTGACATTCCGTATTCTTAATCCGTCACAACACGAACAAACAACGCAGGACACCAGCATTGCAAAAAGAAGGAAAACGACACAAACCCTATACCAACCGGTCTGGCCAGCGTGGTATAGTAGGCCAAAATCTCCTTTCAAAGGAGAGGCCTATGTCCAACAGTGACTAGTAAAGGCTGTTGATGTGTGATGATGATGTGATTATTAATTTGTTAATGGCAACTACAAGAAGTTCCTACATAATGGGGCAGCACACAACCGGTTGTGGCGAACCTTAGGGTAGACCTATGTCCAGTGGACGCATTTCGGCTGATATGATTACACATGAACACGACGAATAATAGTTATTGTTACCTGTGTAGTACTGCAATGTTGAAGTCCAGTGTCCAATATTCTTCATCCTTAGAGCGATGTACAAGGCGGCCGCCGCCATTTTGCTGTCGGAATGTTCCAGCAAGGTGTACTCCAACAGGCACTGCTCCAATACGAACCGCGCCAGAGTTAACGTGGGCATTGATACGCGTGCACACTGTTATACAGATAGAAAAATCTTTAGGCCCAATGAACAAAAGTGTATAATAAATAATCAATTATTTTTTCAGATTACTCATATCTATACTTATAGGTACATTTACTTTAAACTAAATATTTGTTACATAACATTTAACATTCTGTGTTATTAAAATTTTAAAGTAGATACTAGCTGACCCGGCAAACGTTGTTTTGCCATTTACATTTTTTCTAGAAAATATTGAAAAAAAATTTTTAGGGGTTACCCTTATCATTAAGGGATATGAAAAATAGATGTTGGCCGATTCTCAGACCTACCCGATGTGAACACAAAATTTCATAAAAATCGGTCCAGCCGTTTCGGAAGAGTATGGTAACTAACATTGTGACACGAGAATTTTATATATAAGATGATCAAGCCGTGAATTTTGGTTTTAATATTTTATGGTTCCTTTTACATTTAAACGACGAATGTCTAACGTTAATAAATTATAGTTAAAAAAAACTAAAAACTACCCGAACTAAAACAAAAGAAAAAAAATAAGTTCAAAAAGAAAAACTATTATATCGTAAAAATGATCTCAATTGTTGTAAAACTATTTTCTTGATGGATATTGGTAAAAGTAAATTTATTATATTATAAAATATCTTATATATATACATACCAAGCTAATAAAAGCGTATTCAAAATATAATTGTATACAGCAGTACTTACCCTGGCGTATCTCCTGAGGAACCGATAAGAAAGAGGGATTCCAAGGTCATAGTCTATTACACGAAGGATGTTCATTTCCATCTTAAGCAGTTGACTGAGGGTGTAGGCGCCGTCGCAGATGTACAGGAAATCGTCCACGAGAGGGGGGATGCGTTCCTGTAATCAAGTTATTGTTGATTGAGAAAGAGGAACAAGAATATACACATATATTCAGTTTCTTTTGACATTCAGCCAAAACCAAAACTAACCCGAAACACGTTTTTTGGCCAAAACTAGGCCGAAAGTTCGGTCGGACACTATACTTGAAGTGGTTTTGAAGTGATTACATCGCAACCGCTGTTATGGCGAGTATTGTAAGAAAGAAACCTCTATTAATATGGGTGACGAATATTTGTCCTCATTGTTAATTTAGATAATTTAATAACAAAAATAACACAGAGAAATACACATGATACTTACGTCAAACTTCGACGCAATAAATAGCGCAGAAGCACCAAGTAGCTGCAGCTCCTCCTTTGACAGATGATCTTTCTCCGGCAGAGTTTTAGATGACCGTGTCAGAAACAAATCAACTAGCTTAACAGCTAGATATAGGGTCTCGTGGTTTAATTCAAAACTCTCCTGAACCTCAACCATCCAGTCAACGAGGAGGGCCCTCATCCAGGATGTGATCCCCTTCATTCTTTGAAGGTAGTCGTCTATTGGAAACTGCACCTTAAAAATTGTTGATTTATTAGAAAAATATATTTGCATCAAAAATATAAATAACAATATAAGGATTACATGGTACCAATGTTTATGATGTTATCGTGATTATATTTGATTTAAACTAGTACAAGGAGCGCACTAAAGTTATTAGCTTAGCGTATATTGGAACGTCATATTTTTCAAATTAGCATTATTTCAATTCCTCACGCGCTCCTGACGAATAAGTAGTAACGATTTTTGAAAGTTTTGATACCATCAGCTTCTGTGGTGATTGGCCTTCATTATGCTGCCGTTAGCATAGAAAATGAGTGGCGGAGGACATAATCATGACAGCGTTAAAGGTAATAGATGACCAGTATCGTCAAGCACCGACCAGGCATTACGAAAATGTGCCCTGGTTTTATTTAATATATTAACTTTCTTTATCTGAACTGAACAGCTGCATCACGTAATCACCGATGAATTACACTTATCCAAGGTGTCCATTTTAACTGACAATCCGGGAGTTGACAACTTTTCAAAAATAATTTTTAACACCTATGTGTTTCTTATTCTTGTTAAAAAGAACCCTCCCGCACTAGATATATACCCTATATATATGTATCGCAGGGGTTTTTAAACAGTACCAGGGACTTCCTTTCTAGGGTATACCTGGTTCCCCGGCTGTTAGTACCCGAGACGGCGTGCGGTTTTAGTCGGTTCGAGTCCGACATGCCACCGACAGGTGGTATCCGAGGGGATATCCGCACGGAAAAAAAAAAAAGGGATTTTAAACAATAACATTAATTTAAATAGTCACAGCACATCCAGACTCAGAACAACAATTTGTGGATTATAATAAGTGTTGTCCCCTGTGGGGATCGAACCCACAGCAGCGCAGCAAGAAGCGGCGAAATTACCGCTTAAACCACTACATAACGCCATCCGTGCAGACAACTTACAACAAGTTAGTTTAAAATAATACACGTAAGGTAATATACTAACATTCATTATTTTACTCTTAAATCAAATAAAATTTATTTTATATATAACAATTAAATTATATGTATATACCACAAAAACGCGGCATTATACTTTTTTTTTTAATAAAAGACAACGCCCGCATTAGGAATATATATTCCTGTGTCGCAGGGGACTTCACAAACATACATGAAACGCACACAAAGAACACCGAGACTCAGAACAACAATTTGTGGATCACACAAAGTGTTGTCCCATGTGGGGTTTGAACCCACAACACTCGGCGTAGTAGGAAGCGGCGTGGTGACCGCTTGAACCACTACGCTATCCGTGCAGTCAGGCGACTATATTTCACGTCATCGTTCGAATAACATTAATGGCAGATAGTATACAAGTGCAGATTGGTAAATCAGCTGTCAAAATGTGCACGATTACGACACATTCTCTGATGTTTCTAATGAAAATAGAATAGTAATTCTTGATTTGCATTAATCTAGGCTTTTGAGGATGATCACTGTAATTTTATTTAAGATTGGATAAAATATGTCAATACTGTTACTACTTTCGATACTCCAGAGACATATACATTCTAAAAGATGGAAAAAAAACAGGGTGGTAACAAAAAACACTCAGTGGTTATTTGAAATGATATAATTAAAACAGAATTATTTAAAAAAAAATGACACTAGGTGGATGAGCACCTATTTGTATAATGTTCGTGTAAGGCTGTGCGGTTCAATCAAAACTCGAGTTTTTAAGTTAATACGTAACTTCCTTTGAGCCTTTTTCCAAAACTAGGTTGGGTCGGCTTTTAGGTCTACAGCTGAACTACGATTTTAACCAAAGTACTAGGCGATATAAGTCTTTTCTGAAAGCCTGTTATCGGATTTTTAAGGACTCCAACTCCCTGTAACGATTGCCATAGATGTTCGAATGGCAATCGGGAGCAACGGCTTATAGATAGTTCAACTCAGTTGTGCGCGCGGCCCTATGTGTGCGTGGGCTTGTAAATATACAACTTTCATTCGTGTGGCAGTCGTCGTCCGAGCACCGCGTCACTGCCACACGAATGAAAGTTGTATATTTACAAGCCCACGCACACATAGGGCCGCGCGCACAACTTGAGTTGAACTATCTATACGTGATTTCCGAGGCACGTAATAACTTAGAACGTTTATATGTATTTTAATTTAATAGCAATACAAGGACACAATTTCGGTTACGTGAAATTACTACTCATATTGAGGTGGGCACAACAGTTGTCCGTGTGGTGACGGATTAAGAATACAGAGTGCCACCACCCCTGTTCATTACGTGAACGTCGTAAGAGGCGACTAAGTGAGCAAACTACGCAAGACAACAGCACTGCAAAGAGAAGGAAACCTGAATCAAACCCTGTACCTGTTTGGTCAGCGTGGTATAGTAGGCCAAAACCTCCTTTCTAAGGAGAGGCCTATTACTGTTAAAGGCCGTTGATGTTGATTGTGATGACGACAGTTTGCGACGCGGTCTGTAGAGGAACTAAAGTCAGTAGCCAACCCAAACTTCTCTTGCTACTGCAAGTTGCGGCGACATTAAGAGAAAATAAAATTAAAAACGCGGTCCGACTTCCTATCAAGAAAAGTTTACTTATTGCTCCAGATTAGTGTGAAGCACTACAAAAATCTAAATCAATTGATAAAAAAATAAGGTCTGTTGCTGATTCATGACGATGTGAGTTTTGTCTCTTGCTGGGTTAAACAAGGTACTGCTTGAAAAGATGTCATGATAAAAAAAGCGTAGAAAATTGACGATATTGTCGAAACTAGAGTAATTGGCAAAGCGTTTAATATTTTTAGGAAGAGGCTCTCCTGTTCCCCAATGATATAAAGTCCGTGAATTCGAAAAAAGCGGGACTTCTTCAGGGAATCTAATAAAATGTCTCACGTGAATAAAGTAATTGATGCAGATTTTGTTGAATCTTACTTCCGGAAAAGACAGTTTACTATACTACTACTACTACTACGACGACCGAATGGCGTAGTGGTTTGTGTAACGGACTGCTATTCCTAAGGTCGCTGGTTCGATTCCCGCTCAAGTCAAACATTTGTGTGCATGAACATTTAATGTTTGATTTGGTCTAGGTGTTTCTATGTATAATAAGTATGTATTTACAAAAAAAAAAAGTATATGAGTATTTATATCAGTTGTCTAGTAGCCATAGTACAAGCTCTGCTTAGTTTGGGACTAGATGGAGTTGTGTGAATGTGGTAGAATATTATTATTATTACTACAGTACAGTAGACATTGAGTATGTTGTACAGTATTTTGTATATTGCTAGCCCTATATGATGATACATATTCAAATTCTAGCTGTACCCTGCCATGCTTTGCTGTGGCACAATGTGGTTACATTGATAAGAAATGCAGAACTGACGCCAAAATAGATAAAAACATGAGTCCAATCGGTGCAGAGCTTTTTGAGTTTTGAAAGCATATCCAAACCAACCTAAGTGTTATATATGCACTTACATTTTTATACAGATACTGTGTTTTGTATGCTATTGTTAGTACACATACTTAACTAAAGTTAACATAGAATTAATTTGTTTAATTATAAATGAAAACTTACTTCTCTACTCCTCAAATAGTTGAATATATCCATGGCATAGTTGGAAACCTGGTAGGGGTCATTCCAGTTCTCAAGGTCAAAGTCATTGACACCTGTGGGAGGCTTGTGAGGCACTTCCGTCTCATCATCCAAGGAACACACTGTGTCATCTAAGTTAACTTTATTCAGTTTTTCACTGATCGTCTTGTATTCCTCTTTTGATGTTTCAGCTGAACTGCTGTAAGAAAGCAAACATGGCGTTCCATTAAGGATATTGAATAACAGATTATGGTATCATACACTACTTGTATTTAAATTGGCTTGAAATGAGGTCAAGAATCAGTAACAATATCAGTATACTTTACTCCACAAACAAAATAATTAACAGTAATAACCACACATTTCCAACTGCAAATCAGAGTTATGAAGCAGAGTCATGGGGCCTCACAACAGTGATTTGAATCAGGAAATGAATAAATTTTTACAGAAATTACTACTGTTGTTTATGAACTATTATTACCTCTGTTTGGATTAGGCATTTTAAAAGGGCCAATACTTTGTCAAATTAAATAAGGTGACATTTCAATTTAATATTTTCTATTAATTCAAAATATTAAATAACAGTTCTTATGGGCTTAAAAAGGCAGCTTTTGGGCAAATCAAGTTTTATTACAAGCCTGGACTTTTGACATGATGTACAGAGCTTAAAAGGAGACTGCAGTAACTGAAGAATACTACTGATATTGTGTGGTATGTCAGTTGTGAAGTCTGATGCTGACCTCACAACTGAGATACCACATCTAATTCCTGCTGCTATTAGCCGTTATACCATCAAGAGAACAGCACTTGCATGCATCACCATTAATAGGAAGGAAAAATAATTATTAAGAATGCAAAAAGAAAAACTAACGTAGTTTCCAGGGCCGTCACATAAAGTGACGGTTCAGATACATCACTCCTGGCTGATTTGGCAGAATTCTGGCTTTGATTCACTTTTTCTTTTTTATTATCGTAATTCTTGAGGATGCCATTCTGAGCCCTAGTAGCAACAGCCTTCTGAAGATCCTTAGTAAAATGCTTCTGGACAGCATCAATGGCATTTGTGGCTACTCTCTGGATAGACTTTGCTTTGGAGGTTTTACCATTCACAGCTGTTATCTGTGGCTTGATGCTCTAAAAATATTAATATAAATTAATATTTTAGTGCAGTTCATTTCAGTTATATATTTACATTTTAGATATAAAGATATTATAAATTTTCAAAACTTGTAAATTCTCAACACTATTTGGCCATATGGTAGGAGGCCAGTTTGAGATCAGACAGCCAATTTATTATTTTTATTATTATTAAGTGTTAAGGAAATTAAATTTAAGTATAAATAAATTACCTACAGATTTACTAACTTTTAAACAACTTTTAGAGATGATTTTTAAATTTGAATTTGTAGTAAAAAATAAGAAGTGACCTTGACCTAATATTTTCAATGTTGAGCATTTAACTAGATACTTAAGTATGAAAGGAGCTTGCAAACATGGGCAAAATAGGTTAATATAAAACTTTTTCAAAAAACAGAAAAGTAGCCTTTCTGAAAAAAAAATGTTTTTGGAGGGAAAGTTCATTGACCCACATTAAATTCGCAAAACTGAACGGCAATGCTCGCCATACTAACCACATGGTAAGTTTAGTATAAACTGTTTTTATTAGGCTAAAAATATTTATTAGTAACAAAAAATACCCTCTGTGAGATAATTTTAAGTATAGCAAAAAAAAACTAACCTTAACAGCTGGGAGCACTTTACTCTCCACAGTAACCTTCTTCAACGCCAAGGTACACTTATCCTTGTCTCCAGGAGCGCTGGTTTTATTTAAGGCATTGGTAATGTCTCCAAACGCTGCCCGCTTTGCAGTAGCATCTTTTAAAGGACTGTCTGCTTTCCTCTTATTTGGAACTTTTAGATTGTTAGTCTTTAAAGAAGCTAACTGTTTACTCCTCGTGGTTATCCCATGGCCAAGCAAACCATTCATGTTTTCATTGACGCCGATTGGCTTTGATGCCAACCTTGTTGGCGCCATTATGGGGTTTCTGAAACAACCCGTAATTATCACATGCACTTTTTCTTCAGCGTGGTAAAAATAACACGGGCAAACGATATTGAAATAATACAATTTTTGTAAAATACTATGTAAACGTAAACAAGCGGTTCAAAATGATCACTTCTAACGACCAAAAATGGAGGCAAAACAAGCGAATATCGACAGCGTCAAACGGTAATCTAACGGATATTGCGTACTCACATTTAAAGCCGGCACTAGCCGTTTTGAGTTAGTTTTGATAATTTTAGAAGTTGCACGGCCCGTAATTGGTTCCTAAATGATAAAATTTTATCAAAAGTTCAAATAATTTCAACAAGACACCGGACAGATGAAACGTCTTCAAAAACCGTTGAACTACTTTGAATTTTGATTGGTTGAAACGTACACCAATGGAGAGGGGATATGCCAAATTGAGTTTCGTTTTACGTTGAATCTTCGTTTGGATTTCAGGAAGCTGAACCTGCAATAAAAAAAACTACTTTGTTAAAAAGATAATTTTATCTGAATTGTATAGATTGTAGAATAAATTCAATAAATTGTTTAATTTTTAATATATGAATTACAAGTGTACCTGAACAGTAAGTTCTCTCTTTCTACTCAAAGTGCTTTTAATGTTCTTTCTTAATCTTATACATATTACCTAGTGATATCATTTTCTTTTTATTTCACAAAACATTTATACCGTTAATAAATTGCCATTAAAATGCCATTAAATAATAACATTTAATTAATAACGAAACAAATAATTTACGATTGAATAGAGGTCTTTAAAAGCAAAATTGGGTTCTTGGGCTATAAATCTTAAACCCTATAACTAACTCTAAAATGTATTCTACATACAGATGTTAAACTATATATTTTTCTCAAACAGTCGAGGATATTTATGATCAAAATATGTAAATCTATACAAATTCAAACTTGTAATTTTGGAAGCTAATGATTTTTGTGTCGACTAATGTCGACCCTTAAGGGGTAAAATAAGGGATTAACGGTTGTAAGGAATGTTCGTCATCTTCAAAGCGAAACCGCAGGTAATAGCTTGCCTCGTATATGTACACATAAGAAAAATAAAGAATGCATGTTAAAACTTAAAACACTTAAACAATGGAATGATTTTGTTTGAGTAGTTAGAATCAGAACCACTTGTTGCCCTCACAAATTCTTATGTACCCCAATTAATTGAAGTTACTGGATATTATTCCTTAACGCAGTACTGAGAGAAGATGTAACCGTAATATGCATACACAGTAACGTATATTGTAGCTACTTTTTTATGGTAAAGGAGAGCAAACGAGCAGACGGGTCACTTGATAGGAAGTAACTACCGTTGCCCATGGACACCTGTAGGGCTTCAATTTAAGAGTTGTAACTCTTGAATTGTAGCCCTACTGTGCTGTGCCACCCTTTGAGAAAGAATGGCTTAACACCGATTTTCTGTGAGGCCGTGGTATTACTCCGGTTTTACTTAAGGCAAAAATGTCCAAATCCAATTTAGAGTACATTTAATTTTGCCGCAGTGCTGCTTCTACTTAGAAAATGCATCGATATTTAGGCCTATAAAAGATATTTCTAATATTTTATTACTTTCAGTAATATTAATTTGTTTCATATTTAATTTTAGTTTTATAAAATAACATTAAGTTTATTATCGTCTTAATGATTTTTATCCTTTTAAATCTAATCTGGTCAATCACAGAACATACTCTCTACCAATAGTGGAGTTACTTAAAAACACTATTTAATTGTTTGAATGAGGTTTGCACAATACATACCTATGAAGTAAAATAGCACGGTTTACTGTGAGTGCTATTATACTTGTTTTCATTCCGTTTTTAAAAGAAATGGAATGTTATTTTCAAATGTCAATATGATAAGAGCGTTTCTCACTTACCATTTCAACATTCTTAGCATTATGACAGAAAATATAGTTACATAGATTTATTGATTTTTCGTAATCAAGTTACACATATTAGAGAACTCTCTTTTACTTGAATATAATAGACTTGAATATTTTACGTGAGTCTTTAAATCATAATTAACTATTTTTTTGAAAATAAAACACATATGAACGTTTCAAAACACTAAACATTATGATGCGCAATAACTGTTTCTACACAGGTATGAAACACGACTGTTTGCAAGTGATACTCAATGTTATTAATTTTTCACAAAAATAATTAGTAATGATAACAATAACAACACTGTGGTGATTTTTATTTGGCTGCACTCGATATATCATTAAAATGTTGGGAGGACTTAAACTAAAAGTGACATTTACACACGAAAAAACATGTTTTGCTTATATCAGTCCAAAGTACATCACAAATAACGAACAGGTAAAAGTTAGCAAGGAAATTATCACTTTAATTTTAAGATAAGTTGAAGACTCAAGTTATATTTAGGATAATTATCTTAAAGTTGTTTTAAATTCTTAAAAAACACGAATAAAACAACAGAAAACACCGATTTAATTTTTATCCAAAACTGCAAATTGTGTTTGTTGAGATTTAAAAGGACTCACTAGATATCGGCAAAGCTTTGGAGGCTGTCGACAGGCCGGTGTCCTACAGGAGAATAAATTTATGCAGCACTACAAAGTCTACAAACATAGTGTAGGGTTTTCTATGTTTGAATAGAGTCATTAGACCCAGATTAGAGGAGGGGATAAGAAGATAAAAAACTGTATTGTTCCGAAAATTACCTGCGCCTTATCAGGTGCCCAGTGTTCTCACTTGCAAATTTATATTACTTCTTTATTGTTCTTATTAACTGATGCAGAAAACAATAATAATACTGCACCCTTTTTAAATCTGTTTATTTGCATGTTGTTGAATTATTTTGTCAATTGATATATGTTTAATTTAGCTAGCTAGCTAGGTAGCTGGACAAATAAGTAAAATAATCCACCTAAAGTACATTTCCTTTTAATATTAAACCTCTATCACAAGTCAATGGAGTTGTGTTTTGTAAATTTCACCATGCCTATGTAGATATGAGGTATGACATTGTCCATGTAATATTGACTAAAAAAAAGTTTTTATACTCTTTGCTAAAAACATTTGAATGTAACACTTATTACAGAATACATAACAACTGCTCTGACACAATAAAACCGACTCTCTGCTATTTACAAAGAATTTTGATAGCATAGAAGTAAGGTTGTCTTCTTTTAAAGACTAATTAATAAAAACAATTATTATAACCAGTGTGTCAGAACTTACTACTGGCCTTGGTCTAGAGGTTATTGACCCTGATTGCTAAACAAGAGGATGTGGGTTTGATTCCCACCCAGGATAAATATTATTGTGATGAGCATCACCATTTGTTCAGTGTCTGGGTGTACTTCATCTATAGTATGTATATATTTAAAAATGTATATATGTAAAGGTTTTTATAAGCAGTCTGAATATCATAGTACAGGCTCTGAATAATTGCTTCTACTAGATTGGATCAGCTGGAGAATACTTGCTTGGGTTGTGGCCACTCCCTCACACTCCAATCAGCTTTTTCTCTGTGTTGATACACAATCTACATACTAAAGCCACAAATGCCTGTACTATTGTTACTTCTCTACTTTCCTGACTCTACTATTGTCAACAAATTAAACCAGGGATTCCCAAACTATGTCGGGCAAGGGACCCTTTTTCCAAAATGAACTGATACCTCAGATCCCCATAGCCAAAGTACTGCACTCTTGATACTTCCTACTAAAATATTAGTCCTTCTTGTAACAAGTTGGTACATGTAACACAACTAATACAGTATCTTGAAAGTTTCAAATAAGAACTTGTGTTAATAATAGGGGTCAATTTTTAGAACTTTGTGACCCCTAAATTCAGTTTTTCGTATATGTCGACCCCTGAGAAACAAATAACGACCACTTTGGGAATCCCTTAATTAAACTATATACCTTTCCTTTCAATACACCCGATTTCCCTATCAAATAGTTAGTGCCAAGTTGATGACAATAGGCTAGTCCGTATAACATAAGTGGGGCTATGATTATATTTGGCAAAATGTTTAATAAGGGTGTTAAGAATGTTTCTGCCTACCCCACAAATAAGTTCCTAACAAATAACGTTTCGAAAAACCTACTTACTCAATAATATTTACTACTGTAGTGTATTTATTTGTGACTAGCTGACCCGCGCAACTTCGTCTGCGTCTCTCAATAGTAATAATTTTTCTCCGTTTTTGAAACATTCTTCATTAGTGCTCCGCTCCTATTGGTCTTAGCGTGATGATATATAGCCTATAGCCTTCCTCGATAAATTGGCTATCTAACACTGAAAGAATTTTTCAAATCGGACCAGTAGTTCCTGAGATTAGCGCGTTCAAACAAACAAACAAACAAACTCTTCAGCTTTATAATATTAATATAGTATTTAATATAGTATAGATTATATCTGCCTGTGTACATATGTGTTCATCATCATGTTCTTGAGCTAAATGTGGCAACCGTAGCTCAACGCAAGTACCAACATCCTAGGCATTAATCCTGCCTTTGTACTTTATCTGCCAGGTTTAAATAAATATAAGTAATGTTGTGTTATCTGCCAATATTCATTACAGTTTTTATTTTTAGAACCAATGTGTCCAGGTTTTATCAAAAGACAAACCAATCCTCCTGTGGGTAGTCTTCAACAATTTTATCCCAGAAGGTCACATAGCCTGCAATCATATATATAGCAGAATGTTAGGTTTGGTGGAAGGAACGGATGTGTTTGTGTCACCATGTATGGACATTAAAATACTGGATGAACTGTATGTGGACACAGACAGTCCTGACGATCAGGAAATCCTGGTAAGAAGAAAAAAATCTTTTTCTTGCCTTAAACATACTGTTTTAATTATAATTTTTGCTCAATGGCCATAGTATTTGAAAGGCCTTTTAGTCTCTAGTGGTTAGTAATCTGGTGGCTATTGGGCTCAATAACCGCACTGGACATATAATTGTGTGGTGAGCACGATTGTTTGTTCTGTGTCTAGCTGTAATTTGTCTGTAAGCAGCCTGGTTACATATAACACAGGCTCTGCCTAGTTATGGAACCAAAGGCCATATGTGAGATGTGTGTTTTTTTTTATATTTTCAGTTTTTATTCATCATTTAGTTGATAATAGGTATATAAAATTATGTCATTTTATTACATTTAAATATACGTTTGTAAATTTCCAGTGCAAATATTCTTAAACAGTATGTTTTATTGGGTATATTTTGTATGACAAAACGTAAATTCTAATGTAAATAGAAACTTCCATTGCACCACATTGCTACATCGATTATACATAAAGTAATTAATAATAATAATAATAAAGTTTATTTCTCTTCCACAAAGGTTCCTTAAAATTAAAACTTATAAATATATTGAGAGTACGTGGTTTTTAATTCCTTTGTGGGAGACTGGTATCCGTACTAGGTGTCCCTGTCACACAGTAGGAGTTATGACCTGCTGTAAGTTCTAGGTCGTCTCCCCATCTCCTTTGTTCATGTCCTCTGTAAAGTTTTCCAACCATCATAACCCTCAATAAAATTACAATATATAGAAATATGTCAACCTAATTATCAACAGCCTTTCATAGTCCACTGCTGGGCATAGGCCCCTTCTTAGAAAGAAGCTTTTGGCCTACTATACCATGCTGCCCAAATGGATTAGTGTATGATTTCTGTGAAGTTTCCTTCTCTTTACAGTGCTGTTGTCCTGCGTATTTTGCTCCTTTAGTCGGCTGTTACGCCAGCCACGGGATAAATAGGAGTCGTGACTCTCCGAATTCTTATGACGTATGTCAACCTAAATAATTGTTATAAATTTTCAGGAACACAATGTTGAACTACTGCAATTAAAAATACTAGATCAACTGCGGCTTGTTGTAGCCAATCAAAAGACTGTAGTGTGGATATCAGCATCTATGCCAATAGTATTCACACCGAAGCAAACTGGTATATTAGTGAACAGCAGTAAGATTATAGTGAAAATAGATGCATTTAATAGTCTACATAGCTTTCCCACCATTCCTGTAAACACATCAAAGGAAATGGAAAAGTTTAAAAACATTGGTGCTATAAACAAAGCCATGATTGGTCCGTATTTAAATATACCAAAGAGGATGGTGCTAAGAGGTTTACCTATTGATAGTGATGGCAAAAGAAACTTAATACATCCATATATAGTTTTTATTCATGAAGATTTTATTGATGACAAATATAAGGACTTGACCGTAATTCTGTCTACAATGACGAATATACCCTCTATATTACAGGAAAGTGATGACAATACCGTTAATAGTAATAGACCTATAAATGATTTGTGCGTAGAAATAGTTCCCATTGACAGTGTGATCTACAGAAGTCTCTGTCGGGAGGTGTACAATGAAAATATACCGACAGTACTTATCCCAAAATCTTTAAACACTATTATCAATATAGAAAATGGAATGAAATTAATTTTTACAATAGTTAGAGATAGAATCGAACAACCGGACCACATTGATGTTGTTACATACTCAGACAAACCACAGTCTGAAATGGATGTGATAGAACAATTCAAAAATTGTGTTATCAAGAGCACCCATTCTGGTAAAAAGTTTCTTATAAACAATGCAATGATCAAGCAGAATGCTGAAATAAGTAGTGGTTACTTACAGTTTAAATTGAAACCTGAAAAATTGAAGTTCACCATGTTGAATTCTGAGTCATTCAGAAATTGTACCATATCAGCTAAATGTTTAACAGATGCGGATATGACAGCACCAAAGTTGGTGGTTTCTAAGTTAGAATATGATTACAAAAATTATTGTAGAACAATGAAATCTATGGAGGCGTTGATTGAGGACATTTTGGTGAATGTCTATTTTGAAATACATAGAGAAGCGAATTTTAAAGGTGCCTCAGAAATTAAGAGTAATGTTTTAGTCACTGGTAAGTTGTTTTTTATAGTATATACATAAGTGTAAGATGAGAAAACATGATGATGAACACTTTATTATTATTACACACTTTATATATCTTTGTCATTCAAACAACATCATTATTTTTTCCATTTTTGTGTGTCCGTTTGCCAGGTGGCAAAAGCCTCCTCCAATCTTCTCCATTCTGGCCTTTCTATGGCCACTCTAAACCATGTTATTCATTTATTGTGATGAACACTTAGCCTATGATAAAAAATCCTGAACTCTTAATATAAATTTTGGGCCTGTGGGTCTATTGGTTAGTGACCCTGACTGCTAAGCCGGACGTCGTAGGTTCAATTCCATCCCAGGATAAATATTTGTGTAATGAGCACTATTGTTTGTTCTATATCTTGTTTGTTCTATGTAGGGTGTAATTTATCTAAAATATGTATTTATTTAGAAATATATAAGTATGTTTATCAGCAGTCTGGTTGCTATAGTACAGGCTCTGCCTAGTTTGGGATAAAAGCTTCCATCGCTTTCCGTCGGTTCATCCATAATGCAAATAAGTAATTGCCAAGTACAATTTCTCGTACTATGAAGTCTATGGGTTTCATATTAAATTTCAAATAGTCTATAGTTAAAACAACTGAAAGACACTTAGCCCTATTTTGACACTTTTTATTTCTGTAGTGTTATACATATATTAGAGTGATACTACGGCCCCACAGAGAACCGGTGTTAAGCAATTCGATCGTTGCCTTTCGCTGAGTGAGTGAGGTTACCGGAGCTCAAATCCCCGTGACTCGAGCGGGAGGGACTCCAAGGGCAGTAACGCACTTTCGACTTTTGAGTGGCAGGTGTCCATGGGCGGCTACTTACCATCAGGTGACCCGCCGGCTCGTTTGCCTCCTTATACCATAAAATAAAATAATAGTAATTACACTTCTTTCTTATTTCCAAAAAAAATGTTGTATTTCAAAATTTTCACGTATTTTGCACTAGACCCCATGTGAGCCCAAAACTATATCTATAAATGATAGTTTTTAACTATTAAAAACTTTCTATTTTGTTAACAGGATTAAGTGGCTCAGGAAAATCCTCACTCTGCCACATTATACAAAAGGAGCTGACCGTCTGGTCGCATATTCTCCACTGTCGGTCTCTGAAGGGTCGTAAGGATATTCCTGACGTGCTCGGCAAGGCAATACTGATGTGCCAGGAGCACAGTCCTGCTGTACTTATCTGTGATGATATCGATTCGTTGGTACCTCCGAATATGGAAGGAGCCTCGCCCCAGGATATAGCATATTATCAGAGGTAAGTTTGTAACCTTAAAATATTCTTTTTTTGAAATGAAATATTAGCCACGTGGGTTACACTTTGTTGGTGTATCCTTGTTCCATCAACTTTGTTAGATGCTTTTGTTAGGATAGGGTTGGTAGTGTATTTAGTGGGATTCAAACCCGTAACCAGTTGATCGCAATTTCGAGGCTCTAGGCTTTATTCTACCGCCGCATTATTATGACAATAATATTAGTACGAAACGCGAACTGAAAATAAGAATAGTTTAATTATCGACCTCCTTCAGGTTCCCTCATCAAACCTTTGATACACATTGATTGAGGAGTTTAAAAGTAGGCACTAAAGAATTCCTTTATTTAAATCATTCCACCAAATCTGGTATAAGCAGCAAAATTATAATATTTTCATTTTAACTGCATCTACTCACAAAGTTTTATTTCGATACGACAAATACTTTAATAAACTTTAAAAATAATAATTTTACAAATCTCACACACGGTAGTCTGAGACCCTAGCGTGAGTTTACTTCAATTCTACGCGATTGTCACGGTGACCACGTGCGGCGATGTGATTGGTCCGCACCGAAATATCCACCAATCGCAGTCGAGAGTTAGGAATATATCTTGTGTCGCGGGGAACTTTACTTTACATACATGAAACGGACACAAAGAACACCCAGACACAGAACAACAATTTGTGGATCACACAAAGTGTCGTCCCATGTGGGGTTTGAACCCACAACACTCGGCGTTGTAGGAAGCGGCGTGGCGACCGCTTAAACCACTACGCCATCCGTGCAGTCAATGATGATCATGCTCATCACACAATAATGTCCTGGGTGGAGATCAAACCCATGACCTCTAGCTTAGCAGTCGGGGATCACTAACCACTAGACCAACAGGCCTGTCTTGTCTCCTAGTAGGTTAAAATTGACTTCTCAAATTTATTGTTTGACTTGCAAGTAAAGAATGATAAGGTAAGAAAATGGTGTGGGTTGTAGAAGTTTATCAATAAAATGGAATGTCGTTTATTTAAAAGAATATGGTACATAAAGGTCTGAACATAGATTATAGTAGTCTCATATATTCTACCGGGACACTACTTTGTAAAATGTTGTACAAATAAAGAGAGTTAAATCTATGTATCTAAAGGTATCAATTAGTTTAAAAACCATGCAATCTATACAAATAAATAAAAATGGAGTGTCTGTTTATAATATTAAAATAACCGCTTTTTACTAAATGCATATGTATGTTTACACGGTACATATGTCAAAATAACATTTTTTACAATTTTTGTCTGTCTGTCTGTCTGTTTGTTCCGGGTAATCTCTGGAACGGCTATACCGATTTCGACGGGACTTTCACTGGCAGATAGCTGATGACATAAGGAGTAACTTAAGCTTCTTTTTTTAGACTAGCTTCGCCCCGCGGCGTTGCCCGCGGTTATAACAACAAACGCGGGTAACACCGCGGGTCTCAGCTAGTTGCAAATATCTTTACATTAGACTTGCAACGAATAGTATATTCGGCAGTATACCGAATACCGAATATTCGGCGAGGCCCCTGACCGAATAGCCGAATATTAGGCAAAAGTATTCGGCTGGATTTTAGCGCCAAAAACTTGTACAGACGTGAATTAAATTATGTACCTGTTTTATGTACCAATGACTACTTAATAAATGATTATAAAATAAATGAGAACCTTACCCTTCTAAATTTTGATTACCACAATAATTCAAATACATAGAATCCTCCATTTTTCCAATTCAGAAGATGATTATGTACCTGTGTTATGCACCAATGACTACTTAAATGATTATAACAGAAATGAAAATATGAATATATACGTAATCAATCGATTTTAATTTTTTCATTTTACCAATTATTTCTCAATGACAAAATATATTATTTAAGTATTCGGTATTCGGCCGAATAATATGTAGATATTCGGTATTCGGCCGAATATAATAAAAGCAGCCAAATATGCCGAATACCGAATAGTAACCGAATATTCGTTGCAAGTCTACTTTACATAGTATTAATTAAAGTTGCTTTTTTGTGTTGTACGCTTAGATCTTTTAAAGTAAGCAATGGATTTTAATGCTGTTTTCACCAATAGAGAGAATGATTCAAGAGGGAGGTTTATATGTATTATACTTGCATATTATAGAGGGGGAAATTTGATAATTTTAAAGAATTGTCGTAAAAAACATGTTTTTGTGCGTTTAAATGGCAAACGCTGGCTAAATCTTACAAAATATACCAAAATAATGTACTACGTCATTTATTATCTTTAAAAGATTTACAAAAAAAGTCCGAAATGGTTATATCTATCTCCTAAGGATAACACACAGTAACCATTTGTATCTTTTAAATATTAGAAAAAATAATGGGTTATTTACGAAGCTATTTTAAACAATACATTATTATTCCTTATCCAATTAAATACGTAAGATACGTTGTGCATTTAGTTTAGTTTAAAATTGATACCTTTTAAATTACAATCTCACAAATATTAGAAAATCATGAATAATAGTTTAAATGGGAATGTCCTAAATACAATTGAATTAAATTATCTCGTTTTTTTATCATGAACAGCCACCACATATTAGCCACATATTATAAAAAAACCTCCTTTCTAAAGAGAGGCTTATGTCCAGCAGTGGACTGTTAACCACTGCTGGACATAAGCCTCTCTTTAGAAAGGAGGTTTTTTTATAATATCAAGTACATAGTATAACAGAACATATAGCACGCGCCACATAACTTTGCGTCATTGAAGTGCTGCAAACCGAATGTTGCGCAGGCTACAAACAAGTAATATTAAAATTCAATTTATTTGATTCCGAATTGTAACTAATATAAAATGTACATGTGCATCTATTTCCGAACGATTACGTTAATATTTTAACTATATAGTGGCAAATTACTAAAATAATATCTAAAATAATCTGAAGTAGTTCTTAGTAAACCGGAGTTTTAATAGTAGAAAATCAACCTACAAAAATAAACAAAACAATTACAAACATAAACATAGCAAATAACAATATTAACAGATTTAAAAAAAAATGTCGCAACAGTACGTTAGAGCAAAGCAGATAAGTCACTTAATGTGTTGGAGCGAGATGCACCACTGAACTCGCAGCGGTACAACACGTCGGCGTGCCCCCCCCCCCCCCCCTCCCGTCCCTTTCCGATGCGCAGAAATTACCCCTCTGATGCGCTTTTCGCGCGAACTTTGTTGACGCAGAGTTATATGGCGCGTACTGTACAATTAATGTAGTACTACTTTAAATACGTACTTAAGAATGTAAAAAAAAACATTGGTATCGAAGAAAACTTATCATTAAAACTTGAACCCTAGAAATTCATTAACAGAATAGAGACAGATTTCAATAAATAATCCTTTGAAATATTCTAGTTTTTAACACACTTCTAGTTCAGTTGGTTTACTCTAAGCAGTTCATTATAGATTTTTGTTGCCATACAATATGCAAGTTGAAAGGATGAGCGAAGATTAAGAATTTATAAGGGAGTTTGTTTGCCCTTTCTTCGTATAAGGCTCAACCCCTTGGTCACGGGCGGTTGTAGATCGGCACAGACATATAAAAGACCTTCTGTACATTTATTTTACTAAATATATGACAAAAGAAATTGTTTCTATTGTGCGTCGAGACGATTTCGAATAATTTTATGAAATAAAGATATTTATAAATAAATAAATAATAAAATAAAATAAACTTTATTCTGTAAGAAAACACAGCATACAACTTAATATAAATTACTAACTTAATACAACTTACAATAATATTACATTTTTTTAAAAGCTTGTAACTATTAACGTACGTGCATCACTATACTACGCTATCTGTGGTCATGAGTATTTAGTTGTCTGTGAGACTGTGATCATATATGACGTGGTGATCACTATTATTTTAGGTTAGGTACCAGAAAGAAACTATGTTTTACATGTAACCAAGCAGGCCTCTCAATCTTAACCACATAGATAGCTTGTGCGGATGAGAGTTGTACGCTGTGTCCCACAGAATAGGTGGACCCTCAGCATTTACTGTGATGGACATGGTCCGTCCCAGTACTGATTTTCAGTGCCCACCAGAATTATTGAAATATATTTCGACTTTGAGTTTGGCCCCTGTGAGTTGGGCAGTCGGTGCGGGCGGGCCCAGAAAGACATACACTGACATGGCAGTTTCCTAACACACACACATAAAAGCAACCGTAACCTGTAAATTAGCCGTAATCTGTAATTACCGGTGAATTAAAGGCTTGATGACTGTTGAAGCAACGTGAGCTGAATGACAGAATCGTATAAAAATGCCTTCTATCGTCTCTACCTGACCGAGACAGGATTGAGGCGTGAGTGTACGTGTGTACGTACAAGTGAAGCCAATTAAATCGTATTAATAATGTTTTACTTTGTGTTATAGGTTAGCGGTAGTGATCAAACATTTGTTACAAACATGTTCGGGTGTGTGCGTGTTGATGACATCACTCAGTATGAAGGCACTTCACCCCACACTGAGGCAGTTCAGTGGGAAGCCAATGTTCACAGCTCATTTTGATATATTAGAAATTGAAAAGGTAAATTTGTGTTATATTTTATATAATACTAGCTTTGAAATATTAGTTTCAATAAAAGTAGCCAATATGCTATTCCAGATTATACTCTATACCTGCGCATAATTTCATCCAAATCTATTCTTTTTTTTCTTTTCTTTTTTTTAAAGACAACTCCCGTATTAGGAATATAGCTATCCTGTGTAATATAGTTTTCACTTCTGTCGGCCCTTCCGGAGTGCCACTGTTTTTTTTTGCTTTTTACCGAGTGTGTAAGTTAACCTAAGTTAAACCCGCTCACCCTCTCCCCAATTTTTTCTTTTTTTTCTTTAAAAATACAAATCCCGCATTAGGAATATATCCTGAGTCGCGGGTGACTTTGCATACATACAGGAAACGGACACAAAGAACACCGAGAATCAGAACAACAATTTGTGGATCACACAAAGTGTCGTCCCATGTGGGGATCGGACCCACAACACTCAGCGTAGTAGTAGTAAGCGGCGTGGCGACCGCTTAAACCACTGCGCCATCCGTGCAGTCTGCCGTTACGGCCTAATTAATGATAAACAATAATTTTAAATCTTTGATATTTAATGTTATCTTTGTTGTTGGTAGGAAGATAGAATAGAGCTTTTCAAGCATTTTCTTAACGATAAATTGCGACAAGAGTTTTTAATAGAAGACGATGACGTCATCAAGTTGGCCATTGACACCGCTGGCTGCTCCGTCAGAGACATCACTGACTATCTCAATAAGAAGATATTCAAAGCTGTTAAGAAAAAACGTAAGTTGAACTTTATGAAGATAATTAAAAAAATACTTTGTGTTTTAGTTAGCTGATATAGCGTATTTATACAAATAAATAAAATTGAATTGTCTGTTTGTAATGTCAAAATAGTAGGTTATTTTCATGCTCACAAGATTATTTGCACGATAGCTATGCCTAAAACCAGTTTAAATATTTTTGTGTCTGTTTGTCTGTCTGTTTGTGCCGGGTAATCTTTAAAGCGGCTAGACCGATCTTGATAGTATTTTACTACCAGGTAGCTGTCTATATAAGGAGTAACTTAGGCTATAAAATTTCGATCCCACTAAGGCAGCGCTTTTCAAATTCCAACGCAAACGAAGTCGCGGGTCAAAGCTAGTACATATTATATGTCTGCTCTTCGCCCTACTTTCTGGAGTTATTTGTTAAAGCTATATAAAGGTTTGAGGTTGGAACAGACAGCAGACGGGACGGGACGGCGATGTGGCATGAGTGGTTATAATGTACTCGTTAGCATTGAGTTAAAACAACACTAGAGAAGCAAACCTCATTATCACACGTCGAAAAAAGTGTAACCACTTTTGAACTTTGACGACGTAGCTTTGATACCACGAAACATTTGAAAGTAAATATATTTATGTCTCATTTACACGCGAGACAAGAACAATACCATCGCTCGGATTAGACAAAGACAACGACATAACTTTACGATGGTGGGCCAGTGTTGACTACCGTATGAAATTTTACCCATAACAACCAAGAAACAATTTTTATTTAAAACAATTTTGTATTAAAATAAATTAATTTAAATATTTTAAATAATATATTTCGAATTGAATGGAATAGGTATAAATAATAAAATAACTAGAAATATTTGGTTAAAAGGGTTTATATTTAGTGTAAAATCAAACTCCGCTATGAAGCATCAGTTTTGTATACAATTGTCTGTTAGACTCTTTTTTATAAGTTTGTGTGAATATTTTACTTTCATGATACAATCTTATTTTTACCTATGTATAGATAATGGCATTTAATAGTAAAAGTGAATGATCAACTTGTACTGATAATAAATAATCCCCAGGGTGTATTGCAAATTCTTTTAATATTTTAAAATACAAAAAAATATATAAAAAATATTTTTTTTTTTTTTTTGTTTTTTATATTTTTTTATTTATATTTATTTACTTTTTTTTTTTTGTACAATTGTTATTTATATTTGATAATTAATTAAGAAAAATGAATGAATGGATGAATTAATTCTTTTATACAAAAGTCTCCAGCACTGCGAGCTTGGCAGAAGGTGAACATTCAACGGGTCCCTAAAAAAAGTGATCGATTCAGCCCTAACATCTACCGTTCTTCCTATATTTTATTATTATTGACAAAATGTTTAAAAACAGTATAAAGCATATTATTTCATAAATTATAAATTCTCCCACTAATGTGGGAAAACAAAAAAGATTTTTTAATGGTAACACTGATTCTAAATTACAATTATCAATGTTTTATTTCAATTATAGCCTTATTTACGATATTATCAATACAAAAACCATAAACTTACACGTGATAAGTAATTCCGCATGATTTATTATGGTTTTGTGACCTTGAATCGCATTCTTTCACTACGCATTTACCCATTTTGGCGATTGTTACTGTCATGTGTCGCTATGTTCAACTCGTTTGACGCCACATTGAACACTGAATTGACGTTTGCTACGCATATGCCTGTGGACAGATGTGCAGTAGCAACGATTTTAGGCGGTAATTACTCATCTATGTAAGTATTATATCAATGCTCGTTAGTCGAGTGGACTTAGGCCTAAGTGTCGTTTCACCGTATCTATCCGTCTCGCCCCGTCCTCAGTCTAACCGAACCTTTAAGGTAGGTAAGTATAAAAAAATGCGAGTAGGCGATATTAATGTTGTAAGCTTTTACAGGTAAATTGAACACGGCCCAAGGCTTTTTTGTAAAACAAACCGTACGCATTGCTGCGAGATTGTAACTATGAAAGAATACAAAAGACTTAATCCTATTGTTTTCGAGAAATTTATAACTTATAAAACTATCTTATTGTACGAGTTTTCGAAAACTAATTTTAGGGGTACACAGTTTTTGGATGGCGGTCTTTCTCTGGATGTTCTTGCAATAGAAGTATTAAATACATAATTATTTGAAACTAGCTTTGCCGGCGTCGCCGCCCGCGTTTATGAAGGTCATCGCGGTAAAACAAATTTCCTTTAAATCGGTTTAGCGGTAATTGATTCCACATAAAAACTTTCACCCTCTTAAAGGACGATTGCTGGGATAAAAACCCATGGACTCAAACTATCCCTATACCAAATTTCATCTAAATCGGCTCAGCGGTTTAAGCGTGAAGATGTAACAGACAAACAGACACTTTCGCATTTATAATGTTAGTATGGATAAATAAATAACGAACTTCAATGCGCCTACATTGTTATGAGCCGTAGGAAACTGTATTCTTCATTTCTTAATTTTCAACCTTAAGGGTGGTTTTTGTTGACAATGTGACCAAATGTTAAGTATTCACGGTTCATAAATGACAGAGTTCTGTCCTAAGAAAAAAAAAGAAAAGCAAAAAAAAAAACAGCTGTTTGTTCCATTGTTTTAGGAAGCCACCCAGACGACCCGAAGCCTCGTCTAATAGAAGACGTGACGAAAGACAAAGAGAAAGCCAACGAGTTCGACATATGGGGCCCAGTGGGGGGATTGGAACAAGTTAAACAAGAACTAACCGAGTGCATATTCTGGCCTATCATGGTGAGGAGATTTTCATGCATCCATCGACAATTAATTCTATTAAATTACAGTAGGAGAACCATGCTTCCGAAACCAGAGTGAGGATATTGGGATAAGTAAATAAAAAGTATTCACGTGGTCACGTAAACTGGGTTTATTCTCAACTGACTTAACGGTGCCTCTAGACAAATGTACGCTTCCTGAACCATAATTATTACTTATGAAAGGAAAGTAAGTAGGTGAGACACCTGGTGTCAGTAAATGTAACCAATATACACGGTGATTTTGAAAGCGTTTTGGAAAAGAAAATTTTGAGTTATTTATCAGTAACAGAAGCTATATACAACGTTAATTTAATAAAATATATATATTTTTTATCATCAAAGTCGATATTCATATCGATTACAGAGAAAAGGTGAGAACCAGTAGTAGGGCTTTTCAATCGCAAGTAGGTAAATACTACGAATAGAAATACTATACTCACGCGCAAGGTCAAGGACGTTTAAATTATTATTCGCCGGAGTGTAATGCGTGCATACCTGGACTATGAGTTTAGTGATCGGTGGATAGGTCGAGGAGGGCCAGTGCCTTGGCCACCTAGAAGCCCTGACTTAACGCCCCTGGATTTTTTCTTATGGTCGGAAATAAAAATAATTGTTTATACACGGGAATATGAAAGCCGTGATAATTTACGCATTGCGATAGTGGACGCTTTTGATAAAGTGAAAAGTGATAGAGACACATTAAGAAAATTAAAAAACAATTGCATTAAACGTGGACGTTTGTGTATTGAATGCAGCGGACTCCATTTTGAGCAGTTGCTTCGATACAGAGAAGTGTAAATAGTGTAAATAGGTATGTAAGTTAATTATTCTGTAGATAGCTCCGATTTTTTAAATACGCTTGAAATATTTATACCTACAGTCCGTTGATAAATTGATTTGTTGTGAAAAGAACAATCGTGGTTAATAATCGAAAAGAAGTTTAAATAAAATAGGTATTTCCGACGATCCTAAGCCCGTATAAAGTATGAAGGACAAATTGGAGTCTATCTACGTAAGTACTCGCGCCTATAGGTATACTTTTATCAGCTGCTGTTAGCGTCAGCACGCCCACGGACGTGTTTCATTCATATAAGATAATGAATGAATGATCAGTTCATTACTACTTTCCAAGTCGATCGAGTAAAAATGAATATTAAAACTGAAACTTTTTTTTAGACAACATTACAATTGATTTAATCATTTTTATTGGTACTATAGATGATTCCAAATTAAAATGTTTCGTTTCCAAAACGCTTAAAAAATCACCGTGTATATATTTTGAAATCCCCTTTTAATTTTGTTGATTTAGATACCCTACTCGATAGATTTTTTTTATTTTTTTTATTATTAACCTATTAACTATTTTGCGCCAAAAATCCGCCATTTTGTTTTTTGTTTGACATTTGACATTTAAGGACACTTTTCAGTTACTTCATTCACTAAATCCATCAAGCCATTTGGAAGATACGAGGTAATAAAGAAATTTACAAACAAACATACAAGAAATGCGCGAAAAACATAACCTTCTTTGGCAGTTAGGTAAAAAACGCCACACGGAATCTATATTTAAATTACAATACAATTACCTTAGGATTTTTTGTAGGGCGGTCCATTATAAGTAAACTTGCTTTAGTACGGTCGCGGCACAGAAATAATTTCGTACATTCACTTTTTATTATCTGCGATGACCGTTTTGTGTAGAGATTATAAACCTTTTGAACACTACAATAACCTCTGCTTTTGTACATGGGATATTTGGTTTGCCGTGCCATTGTTTTACATACTAAAATAATAATTTTATTATATTTCATAAGTAATATGTAATTTCATTTAATTGTACTATAGAATAATTTTAATTAGTATTTATTTATTTATTAGGTTAACTCACAGCACATATATGTAACATTAAATGTAAAATCTAAGTAATAAGGTTCTGATATACATGCCACTTACGAGCTAACACAGCATTCACAGTTTAGACAACATATTAACAAAATCACATTGATATATAGGTATTACAAACTTAACTCTATTGGTCTGGTGAGTTTAGTGGTTGCAGTAACGATCAGTACATACTTATCAGTTTTTATTGCGAGGTTTGCCAAATGATTCCCATATTTTTGCACGAAACCGGTTCTCCCTGTCATGATACACATCAGCATCAGGCACAGTCTTGAGGAACGAATTCAAATCCCTACACATTCTACTCAGGGGTGCGTTTCGACCAAGGTTAGTTTTGGATAAGGGTAAAGTAAGGAGTATTACAGTTAAGAACCATACTGTACGACATGGCGTCAGAGCGTTGACTTTGTGTATATCTGAGTATAGTATATTCGTATAAACTTAATTTAATTATAAACTAATTACCTAATACATAAATATAAATTAAATCACACATATTTAGTATATTTTATGGACTTGCGCTTTAAGTAAAATCGTTTTTGACCTCTGGCAGAAGGCACAAAGGTCATTGTACGAAATTCTTTCTGATTCGCGACCGCACTATAACAGCGTTACTAATTAGGTAAATAATTCAAAATGAAATTAGTAACTTGCTGCAATAGAGTCATAACAAACATATCCGTAATAAAAAAATTGAGGTATTTATATTTCCGTGTGGTGACGGATTAAGAATACAGAGTGTCACCACCCCTATTCATCCCGTGGGTGTCGTAAGAGCCGACTAAGGGAGCAAACTACGCAGAACAACAACACTGCACAGAGAAGGAAAACTTGACACAAACCCTATACCAACCCGTCTGGCCAACGTGGTATAGTAAGGCCAAAACCTCCTTTCTAAGGAGAGGCCTATGTCCAGAAGTGGACTATTAAGGGCTGTTGATGATTGATGATTTATTAAAAAATAATTGTTTTTTAGATCTCTATTATGTTCTCTTCCACGCAGTACCCAGCGCTGTTCCCGTCGCAGTCCTGCGGGATCCTCCTGTACGGCCCGCCGGGTACGGGCAAGTCCCATATTGGTTCATGTCTGGCTCGTCTCACCAACATGAACATGATCACTGTGAAGGGACCCGAGCTGCTCTCCAAGTACATAGGACAGAGTGAGAAAGCAGTTCGGGATGTATTTGACAAGTGAGTATACAAAAAAAATAAAAAAAAGTTATAGTTTTAAAAAACTAAAACACACGCTTCAAATTTTTTTTTAGTTTTTTAATAAAAAAAATTTAAATTAGTGTATTGTCATCGGTCCTCGATATATCTACAAAGTTTGAACGAATTCTAACCGTTTAAAGTCAGTCAAAATCACGCCCAAAGGAGTCGGTTACAAACATACAAACAAACATACAAGTGAAGCTAATATAAAGCGTGTAAAAACGGGTTCCGTGAGGGAAAATTTGTTAGTTGTAGTTTATGTACTTTAATAAAGATTTTAATCGGCCGCTGATGTCACATCCATCCATATCACTTGGGTAATTGACCATCCACCACTGCGTTTGCAAGTAACATTTTGCCTCGTACAAACAATTTGTGGAACAAACCGATACGACCTTTTTGTTTTTTTTTTTTCTGTGCGGAAATCCCCTCGGATAACACTTACCGGTGGCAATGTCGGATTCGAACCGACTAAAACCGCACGCCGTCTCAGGTACCAGTAGTCGGGAAACCAGGTGTACCCTAGAAAGGAAATCCCTGGTGCCCCGACGTACAGTAACTGATACGACCCACGTTTTGTTTACCATTCTGTATAGTACACACTATACACTCCTCAACTTTTATTTTTTGCATTACTTATTAAGTTAGAGGGAAGATTACTTTTAGTCTTGACTGCATTGATGGCGTAGTGGTTTAAGTGGTCGCCACGCGTTCCTACTTCGCCAAGTGTTGGTTGTTCAAACCCCACATGGGTCGACACTTTGTGTGATCCACAAATTGTTGTTCCGAGTCTTGGTGTTCTTTGTGTCCGTTTCATGTATGTTTGTAAAGTCCCCCGCGACACAGGATATATTACACAGGAGATGTCTTTAAAAAAAAACAGATTACTAAATATTAAGTTTATTAGTAAAGCTAAATACAAATAAAAAGTCGAATGTGGCGTGATGTAATTGTTTTTTTCCGGAAGCTGGAATCTTAGAAAATACGTACAGAAATCCTATTTTAGTTGTACTGTAATCCTTTTTTACCTGGTATTTAAATTTGGCCTTGGTAGCAACCAATGCCAAATTTCATTGTTCACTATACAATGAAGCATCACAAAGGATAATATGACTTTACGGACCAAACTGCGCGTACGTTGTCATAAAAACACATTAACAAATCGTTGATAAAACAATTTAACTGTTTAAACGTTTTTCTTTACACAGGGCGGATATGAAGCGGCCATGCATACTGTTTTTTGATGAGTTCGACAGTCTCGCGCCCAAGTAAGTGCTTATTGTGAGTGTCTGTTGTGATACATATACATAAAACGGCCTGGTCTAGTGGTTAGTGCCCCTGACTGATAAGCCGGAGGTCGTGGGTTCCATTCCCATCCAGGACAAATATTGTGTGATGAGCACGGTCATTTGTTCTGTGTCTGGGTGTTTATCAGCAGTCTGGTTACCATAGCACAGGCTCTGCCTAGTTTGGGATCAGCCGTGTGTGAGATGTGTGAGATATATTATTGAAAAAAAGGCATATGTGCATTGGTCACGTCTACCACTTATAGCTTTTTGTACGACTTTGCATACAACCACAGTACGAATATTGTCTGAATATTTCAACAATTTAAATAAATATTTCTATTATATAAATTACTACCTATTGCCTGCGGCTTTCTTCGCGTGGTTTATTTTTATTTCTAACTTTGAAAATAACGAACTGCCATACAACCGTTCGTCACTACTTATTTCTTCCTTAGGGGTGAAATTTCCAAAAATACTTTCTTAGTCGATGCTTACAACATAAAATGCGTCAGCCGTTTAAATATCAAGTTTGTAGCCCCAGCCGTTTAGACTGCGTTTATGAATCAGTCAGGGCAATTTATGATGTATTTTGATTTTATTTAGGTATAGATTTCCTTCATTATCACGTAAGTATAGTGAAATCGCTACAAATTTGGATTTGTGATTAGATATATAGATAGATAATATTTTATTTGTACAGAAGGGTTTTACAGACATTATAAAGTAATTAAGCGAACAACACATGTAATGTACAAAGGGCGGCCTTATCGCTTAGCGCAATTTCTTCCAGGCAACCTTCGGATGGACTGGATTCATTTTAAACTGGTGATATATTTATTACTATAATTTCTGTACCTACACCAGATGTAAAACAACCGATTTAAAACATTTGTTATAAAATGTCGACGTTATAAACCCCAAATAAGACTTGAAATTTTAACAGCTGACGTATTTAATGTTGTAAGCATCGACTACGAAAGCATTTTTGAAAATTGCACCCCTAAGGGAGAGACAAGTAGTGACGAACGGTTGTATGGAAGCTCCTTATTTTCAAAGTTAGAAACACAAAATAAAAATAAACCACGCGAAGGAAGCCGCAAGCAAAAGGTAGTAATTTATAATATAATATAATAATAATAATATTGTACCACATTCACACAACGCCATCTAGTCCCAAACTAAGCAGAGCTTGTACTATGGGTACTAGACAACTGATGTAAATACATATATACTTTTTTTTTGTAAATACATACTTATTATACATATTTATATAATATAAATATTTATATAAATTGTTGAAATATGCAGACTATAATCAGCTGTGGAATTTTATTTACATATAATAAGAAGTCTGATAATCAGCCACTATGGAAGGATGATCCTTTGACCTGGTTATGATGTTCGTGTTCCGTGATGGTGGGCTGGGCCTAACAGTTGACGTGGGTAGTCGCTTATATGTGTACTAATCAACGCGAGAACATTAATCTATACTAATATTATAAAGCTGAAGAGTTTGTTTGTTTGTTTGTTTGTTTGTTTGTTTGAACGCGCTAATCTCAGGAACTACTGGTCCGATTTGAAAAATTCTTTCAGTGTTAGATAGCCCATTTATCGAGGAAGGCTATAGGCTATATATCATCACGCTAAGACCAATAGGAGCGGAGCACCAATGAAGAATGTTTCAAAAACGGAGAAAATTTAGTACTATTGAGAGACGCAGACGAAGTTGCGGGGGTCAGCTAGTCTATACTAATATTATAAAGCTGAAGAGTTTGTTTGTTTGTTTGAACGCGCTAATCTCAGGAACTACTGGTCCGATTTGAAAAATTCTTTCAGTGTTAGATAGCCCATTTATCGAGGAAGGCTATAGGCTATATATCATCACGCTAAGACCAATAGGAGCGGAGCACCAATGAAGAATGTTTCAAAAACGGAGAAAATTTATTACTATTGAGAGACGCAGACGAAGTTGCGCGGGTCAGCTAGTCCGTGATACAGATTCAGCAGTAACTATGAGGTTCATCTCGTCTTCGTTAAAGTCGCTCCAACCATCTATGTGTCTATCGTCAATCGACAGCATTTTTGATGCTTCTTTAGCACTTTAGCACCTTTAGCACCAGTTTTATACTGGTATATCGGTAGTCTACACTAACTCAGTGACTTTACAGTGGCGATGGAACGGCAGTGGCTCATCAATGGTGATATCAAAAAGATTGCCATATTTGGAAAAATAAATAAATCATTTCCTCAAAAAAACGTAATATATTATCAAATCATAAGGGCCTTGATGATTGATGAGACGATGGCCACTCGATGGCATTTCAATAGCGTGTCAGTGGTATGACAGTGGCTCGGCGTGAACATAAAATAGCAGAATCGAGGCCCCGGTCCTAAACGACGTGTTTCCCAGACGCGGGCACGACTCCACGGGCGTCACGGACCGCGTGGTGAACCAGCTGCTGGCGCGGCTGGACGGGGCCGAGGGCGGCGCGCGCGGGCCCGTGCTGGCCGCCACGTCGCGCCCCGACCTCGTGGACCCCGCTCTGCTTCGCGCCGGACGACTGCAGAGGCATATTTACTGCCAACTGCCCGATCAGGTGCCTACACTACACTTATATGGATACAGTATGGCGTCAATGTATACACTTACGCTATATCGTATCCTTACAACTTAAAATAAAACTATATAGCACACTTACACTATACGTCACTGTATAGGGTACACCTACACTATCAACTCATACTAACGTGCAATAGCAACGTTTCAACATATTTAGCCAGGCCCGATCAGAGGGATACCACGACCTCACAGAACTGTTAAGCATTTTTGAAATAAAACTGTTTTAGGCGCGTTGGGAATTGAAAAAGAATGTATTCCATGGTTTAACAAAAACATATTTTTTTAGATGGAAAAAACCATTGAACTCGCGACACTTAACGACACCTCCTCTGTATATAAGTTTTCACTTCTGTCGGCCCTAACGGAGTGCCCCGGTTTATTTTTGGGCTTTTCACCGAGTGAGTAAGTTTACCTAAGTTCAGGGCTCAGGTAAACTCACTCACCCTCTCCCCAATTCTTTGTTTTTTCTTTAAAAAGATAACTCCAACATTAGGAATGTATCCTGTGTCACGAGGGACTACACATTACAAATATACATGAAGCGGACACAAAGAACAACCCAGACTCAGAAACAACAATTTTTGGGTCACACGAAATGGGTGGGTTGGAACCCACAACACGGCGTAGTAGGAAGCGGCATTGCGACCGCTTAAACCACTGCGCCATCCGTGCTGTCAATTCTGGAGGGGGGGGGGGGGGGGGGTTAGTACTTTGCTCTCTACACTATAAGAAAACGATACATTGGCTTCTATATTAAAATAACATAACCTTAATTGATTAACAGAATGACCGCTACGAAGTTCTGCGTACATTAGCCAAGAATGTAACCCTGGATGATGAAGTAGATCTTCAGGAGATTGCTGTAGCGACCGAGGGTTACTCCCCAGCGGATCTGAAGTCCATCCTTGTCACCGCACAGTTGGCTAGATTAGAAAAACAACTCGTGAGTAATTTTTCTAAATCAAATGAAAGAAGCGCGGTGGTTTGACTGCAATGACAAAGGTCACGGGTCTATTTGCTCTGAGTAGCAAATATAAAATAATAATAATAACTTCGCACATCTCACACACGGCTGTCTGATCCCAAACTAGGCAGAGCCTGTACTATGGTAACCAGACTGCTGATAAACATACTTATATATTTCTTTATCCTGGATGGGAATCGAACCCTTGACTTAGTAGCTTAGTAGTCAGGGTCACTAACCACTAGACCAACAGGCCCGTCATTTTATGCTTTTCTGCTTTGGACTGTGTATTACATGAATACCATATAGGTTAGTTCATGGCCCAATGACCAGGGTGGCGTGCTTAGTAGAGGCACGCCACCCTGGTCTCTTGAGTAAGTGTAGCCTCAATCCTGTTTCACCTCCAAAACATGCGGTATCTCTTACTCTAGCTTTCTCCCCCTATCCGTTTTCTTTACTTCCATGTACTTTCCTTCTTTGTGCCACCTGAAATTGATTACATTTCTAAGGAAGTCTGGCGTCAGGCCATAAAAGAAATCAGCCATACCCTTTACAATGTTACACAAAAATAAAGTGAGTGAGTTTTCAGGTGATAATTATGATGATAATGAGTTTTCAGGTGATAATTATGATGATAGTGAGTTTTCAGGTGATAATTATGATTATCTATTTAGGAAACAAACTTTAATTTGGATATAAGTATAGAAAGCACTATGTATCAATGACGTTTTTGGTAATTGTTTTTTTTAGATAGCGAACGAAGACAAGTCAGACATGGAGTCAGTGGTGGTATACCGGGAGGACATCGAAAGTGCTTTGGAGGAGACTAAACCGTCGCTATCCAAGGAACAGAGGCTATTCTATGATATGATGTGAGTGTTCATTACCTAGCTTAGAAACGAAAATAATTCTAACAGATACATGTGTGATTTTTTAAGCTTTATACATCACCGTTACCATCAGCCTTTAGTAGTCCACTGCTGGACATAAAAATATATTTAAATTGAACCGATAAGAAATTCATAGATCTTTATATTTAGTGACAACTTTAAGTTTCTACATTTAAAATATTTATGATTTATATTTATCATACAAAAATTATTAATTAATAAATATTAAAATTTAAAATACAAAGAAGAGAGGCAAAAATAACTCTTTGGTATTAATAAATAAATTATAAGTACATTGTATTTTTTATTGTTTTCAGATACAGAAGGTTCAGAGGCGAGAGTCTCACCCCAGAACAGAAACTTATATCAACATTGCAGCAGAAACAAAGAGTTACACTTGCTTAAATCATATAAAGAAAATGCTTTGCGTCTCGTTGTAAATTACTTACGCACTCAGTATGAAAACTGATTGTTAGTAGAACCAGAACTTAATTTAATATAGTGAATAAGTTAATTTAGGTAAGCTAAGCTAATTATTTCTATAGATGCTTGGATAAATGTTCCGAAACCACATGAAACCACATGATTCACGCGAAATAAATGTTTCGCGTGAATCGTCACTTTCTTGCTCTGTACCCAGTTTTATTGAGAAACGTGAAAAATGGGCCCCATTTTTTTATTTTTGAATCATTTTTTTACAAAGGTAACGTTACGCGTTGTGTTAATCTCAGCCGGCCATAAAGGAAACCAGCCATAAAGGAAACCAGCCAGAACTCTTTAGGTATAGCTGGTTTCTTTCATGGCTTGATCCCAGCCGGCCATAAACGAAACCAGTCATAAATAACTCTTTAGGTATGGTTGGTTTCTTCCAGGACTGGCTATCTGCCTGGATGTTGAGTGGTAACCTGCTAAAAAAGGATAGTTAAATAATTAAGTAATCTTCATGAAGGGGCTAACTCGGGGAAATTACGATACAATTTTTTTTGGCTGCTCAAAACTATTAAAAATAATAAAATGATCCATGATGAACTACCAAAAATAATGCAATACAAAAACTGATACAATTTTGTTAATTAAAAAGTATTTTTGTTATAAATCTGAGTGTGAAATTTAATTTTTATTTAAGGTCTATTGTGCAATGCGATGAAAACACCGAGTATATAATAAATATTGTACTTGTGCGAATTTATACATCTGACAGGTTTATGAACCCCAAGGATATGTAGTTAAAATATATAAATTTATTTCACTGTATTAAATATGGTATGGTAGTTGAGGCAGTGGCCATGCTCTAGTATATTTCAATTGCTCACGTTGCGTCACCACAATCGATTTGGAAATAAAATCGATTATATCCATCGATAATGCAATCGATTAAATCAATTACAATTTGGAATTGACTATCATTATAATAATGTAGGTATAGAAGTAAGCTTGAAGCTGTGATGTACCAATGCTAGTTAGTTAGTAGGTGTTAGGGTAAATATAAGCGCACATAGGAATTTGTTTGTTTGTATATTTTGTTGTGATTTTGTATTTTAATTTATTAATTGTCAATTCAATAAATCGGAGGCGGTTTGAGAGTTTTGTTTTATTGTAGTTCCTTACCCTGCCAAATAATAGACACGTGTTAAATGTAACCCTGGCATATGGGTGCTTCTTTGTTTCAATATGTTTTTATGGTATACGGGTGCAATGTAGGTACCACTAATGTGGTGTAAGGTGTGGAGTAATTAATTATACTATTATTATGATAAGACTATACTACAGGACATCTTTATATGCCACCCTTGACGGACGTACGGCCCGACGTTGCGACAGCCGCTTTATCCTGCATTTTAAATCTCTGATGTCTAATAAGATATTCATTTTAATGATATGCTGTAAAAGGCAATTTTGATCTACATTAAATGCATAACGTATCAAACGTATTTATTTGGATATGGAATAATACTGTATTGTTAGAAATAGCTTCGTAAATTACCCATTATTTTTTGTAATATGTAAAAGAAAAAAATGGTTACTGTGTGTTATCCTTAGGAGACACACATATGCTATTTTTTGTGTAACTTTTCAAGATATCATCATCATCACCTCAGCCTATGCTTGTCCACTGCTGGACATAGGCCTCTCCCAATGATTTCCAGCGGGGACGGTTGATTGCGGCCTGCATATTTCAAGACATACAATTTCGTAATACATTATTTTCATCTATTTCGTTAGGTTTATCTAGCGTTTGCAATGTAAGCGAACAAAAACATGTTTTTACGACAATTCTTTAAAATTCTCTGATTTCTTCTACTATAATATGTATTATTCCTTTCTAAGGAGAGGCTTATGTCCAGCAGTGGACTATTAAAGGCTGTTGATGATGATACATATAAACCCACCTCTTTAATCACTCCGTATTAACCCGTTGCGTAGTTTGAAAGATCTAAGCGTACAAGAAGAAAAAAGCGAATTCATTTTATACTATGTAAAGAAGGCCCAAGCAAACGAGTTACCTGATGGTAAGTGACTACCGCCGCCCATGAACACGAGTGACTCAAGAATCAAGTGTGTTACCGTTTTATGAGACCCTCCCCCTAGTGTCAGAAGTTTGGTCGCGGTAACTACACCCACCAGGTAAAAGTAACGAAAGAGTTTCATTTCGGTCGAGCCGGCCCATTTCTACCGAAGCATGGCTCTCCCACGAACAAAATGTTTATTTAAAAGAAAATGTTGATGTTTAAAATAGGTTTACATCGAAAGTCAGAGCTCATTTTGCGAAAGCTCACATTTATTAGACAGTTTTACAATTTATGTTTACGATAAGTTTCGCAGACTTGTTTTTTACATACATACATACACATGCATAAATATTTCAATAGCTACATGTACTCATTTATTATGAAACAAACGTTAAATAATAGTTAAAATTAAAAGAAATTTATTGTACCGGATCACACTTGCCGGGTACTTCAAGCTTCGAAACCCGAATATTTGCCCAAGGATTAACAAATTTCTTTAAATTAATTAAAAAGAAACACATCCAATCAAATCGGTCCTTACTTCTCAGTATTAGTAAACCTAGACCTCCTACTGTGGGGACGCTAAACTATTTGACAATAGTAACACAGTAAACGTAAAAGTTCATGTAGATTCATAAATTGCATTGTTGCATTATAACCGTGTGTACTCCGAAAATAGATGACCACGGCTAGTGCTGCAGGTCGAAACTTCTTGCAAATCAATGGCATGTGCGTGCCAACCACTGCGTGAATGCATTAATTTGTATGTACCAAATAATTACTTGCGCAGTTGACGTCGCCATCACCGACTCCTTACTTATCCGACAACGTGGCGTCTCCCACAACCTGTTAGTAGCCCCACGGGAAAAGCTATTCAACTAATTAATGAATTTTTGCAAAATAATGTAGATGCAGACATATTTTTTGACAGTTTACCCAAAATTCAGTCAAAATGTAATGATCTTTTTAAATACTCATAAATAACTGTTACCCTCAATGTACTCTGTATAGCTATTAATATTTATTGATATCTTGCAAATTTTTATGGCATCTTGTTGATTTAATTCTTTAATCCATGACATTTTATTGCATTGACTTTGGTGGCTATTTCTATGTGATTGTATGAATTATTAATTACTAGCGGAGACCCGCGGTGTTACCCGCGTTTGTTGTTATTACCGCGGGCAACGCCGCGGGGCGAAGCTAGTCTAAAAAAAGTAGCCTAAGTTACTCCTTATGTCATCAGCTATCTGCCAGTGAATGTCCCGTCGAAATCGGTCTAGCCGTTCCAGAGATTACCCGGAACAAACAGTCAGACAGACAAAAATTGTAAAAAATGATATTTTGGCATATGTACCGTGTAAACATACATATGCATTTAGTAAAAAGCGGTTATTTAAATATTGCAATATTTAAATAACCGCTTTTTACCGCTAAACAGACACTTCAATTTTATTTATTTGTATAGATTAGTTATTTGTAATTTATATAAATAATTTAATGTATTGTTCTGTATAATGATCTGTGGTCTGTATATCTCATCCAATGTAGTACAGCATATAAGCGTTTTGGTTGTGAGACTGTGAGCTTGTAATAAAAACTTAAATAAATAAAATAAAATAAATGTTAAACCCATTGATCGCGTAAATACCGAATTAATATTGACATATAAAGCAAAGTGGGGTTCGTTTCACCATTTATAACTCACGTACGGCTGTTGGATCAATTTTTATAATCTTTGCTTTGTTAGATTTGACTTCGCCCCGAATAACAGAATAATTATAAAATATTTTAAACATAAACGAAAGAAAATTATATAACAAAAAACAGGCGACAGAGTTTTGACATAAAACACATTTGAACTGCTGGGAACTGTTAGTACCTAATTATTAAACTAAATTGCCATTTCTGAAATCATTTTTATAAATATCTTTTTCCTAGGAGCCTTTTTTCCTAAACTAGGTTGGGGTCGGCATTAAGTCTGCTATGATACGGCTGAACTTGGAGTTTTTTACGACTGTCATCAGACCTCCACAACCTAAGTCCTAGGCGATATCGATGTACTGTAGATAGACTCTAGTCGGATTTTTTAGGGATCCAGCTACCCGTAACGATTGCCTAAAATGTTTGTAGGGCAACTATTACGACCGTGCTCTGCGAAGGACGAGAATAAATAATCTAATTATAATTTTGGAACGAGGTTCCTTATCGCGCGTTGTGAAAGGGGGCTAGACGGAAAAAAAATCTCACGAAAAGTTGTAACGACACTTTTTATGTCAGTCATTCAGCTCCATCTATCGAATAGATAGGAAATCATTTCTCAAGGAGATTTCACCAATGTATAAATTGTTTTAATTAGAAACCAACTGAAAAATATGTAGGTAATAGCCGCTTTCATAGATGGCGTTGTAGTTAAAATCGTGTCGAATCAGTTTTACTCGATCGTCACAACTTCGTTCCTATCGAGTGTCCCACGACACCACACGGCTTTTATTTTCCATAAATATACTTAGAGAAATTATATTCTGGTATAATTTTAAATCTAATGTGAGGTTCATTATTTATTCGGTGGCCTGGGGCTGTACACCAGGCTGCAGTCAAACTACAACACCTTTCTACATTAAAAAGAAGTCTAGTTCTCGAAACTCATTACTGTAACGACGTAGACAATCATTAATCCTATTTCAATTCCTCAGCAATGCTGCGCTATCAATCAGATGTTATCAATATTCAATCTCCTCGAACTCATGACTGCTAATTAAGCAGTCGCTTGGAGGGTTAACTGGCTGCTGATAAAAGTTTGCCCATCAACGGCAAATAATTAGCTGGAGCAAAACTGAGATGGTTTCCCGCTGTTTCTACAGGAAACTGTGGTATTACGTTTTGATACAAGAT